TTGTCTTTATACTTTCCTGGGCAACAAGCTGGGAGCCGCTGACAGCATCCTGACACCTGGTTTCACCCTGCTCCTCTGAATGAATGTCACACCTGCGTTTATACCTGTGCTGCTTTGCACCATGTTATTGGAATGTTGTGATGATTTATTCCTGTTGCTTTCTTCCTTTAATTCCATTTCAAAAACAAAAACCTATTTATAGTCTAAATCAGGGTTTCCCAAACTTGGGTCTCCAGCTGTTTGTGGACTACAGTTCCCATCACCTCTGACCACTGGTCCTGCTAGCTTGAGATGATGGGATTTGTAGTCCTAAAGCAGCTGGTGACCCAAGTTTGGGAAACCCTGGTCTAAACACAGCAGTGGCTAGTGACTATTGGAACTGGCAGGGTGGAAGGCGGAGTGATCAACACAGGATGGAGCCAGAACCAATGATGGACATTTTTGCCACCATTCCCCCCCCAACTGAGTTCTGACACTAAGTGCAAATCTGGCACTAAGGAAGCAGAAATTGACAGCAGCGATGCCTCCTGGGCTGGATGTAAGGTGTCTGGCAGGTGGGGGCTGGCTGAGGAGAGACTGAGGTCCATTCAGTCTAATGGACCAGCTTCTGCTATGTAAACATTTGCAAATAATGCATTCCTTGGTTTGGGGGGGGAGATTAAGGAAGAAAGTATGGTTTTGTTCATAAATGTGCTGGCGAGAGAGTAGCTTCGTCGGTCTGAATTTTTCATTACATTTTTGAGGTGAATCAACTGAAGCCTCAGACATCCAAGACAGAAAGTTTCAGGCATCTGAATTACTGAGCATTGAAAGAACTTCTGCCCAATGGCAAATATTTTTTTTCCATTTTGACAGATGCATATTCCAGATATCCGTTACTGGCATTTTTTCATCTACCTCATCGGATACTTTGCTTCCTGCTCTGGATCCAGTATTAAGCACATGTGGTATCCCATCTTTTATCAGAGATGACAGTGGGCCAGCGCTCCAGCATCTAGTTACCCCCCCAATCTCCCCCCGCATCAAAACGTTTTTGGAACTTTTGGGATTCAACTATAAAGAAGATCACATCTTTTTGGCCATAATCCAATGGCATGGCTAGGATACTTTACACAAAACAATTGAAACTGAAGATTATAAATTGAATTCTATTAAAAGCACTCTCTAAATCCATTTTGAGATACTGCAGGCACATACCTTATCCGGCAAGGAGAAAATGTCTGGAGACTGGGGGAAAACACACCAGGAAATGAAAGATCCCCCACCAAAAAAAATAGAGTGAATCAGGGCAAAGTTAAGTGGGACATCTCCTCTGGAACCCAGTTAAAGATTGTTGACCTCAAACCAAAAACATATCCAATAATGTGATTTTTTTAATATTAAAAAATATCTTTCTTTTTCCTTTTTGGTAAATGTTCATAACATTGATTGAAATTTTGTCTCACAAGGACACAAGTTCCCTGAACTCCTTTATTTATACAGTGGTACCTGGGGTTACATACGCTTCAGGTTACAGACGCTTCAGGTTACAGGCTCCGCTAACCCAGAAATAGTACCTTGGGTTAAGAACTTTGCTTCAGGATGAGAACAGAAATCGTGCAGCAGCGGTGCGGCGGCAGCAGGAGGCCCCATTAGCTAAAGTGGTGCTTCAGGTTAAGAACAGTTTCAGGTTAAGAACGGCCCCTCTGAACGAATTAAGTACTTAACCTGAGCTACCACTGTAAAGGGAATTAACTTTTATGGAACTGTTACAGTTGTGACTAAAGGCAGGATGGAAGCAGATGTGACAATTTTACCTGTGTTCCTAGCAGGTCCTTCAGTCACAAGGTGAACCCAGTTTAGCTGCATTTTCTTTGCACACGTGCAAAAGGAATCAAATACTGATTCAAGCTGTCAACTGCCTTTTCCTCGTGCAAACCTGTATCCCTCCAGATGTTGGTCCCACAATCGCTGACCATTGACCAAGCTTGCTGGGCCTGACAGAGTTTATCAACTTGCAGAAGGCCACAGCAAACAGCCACGCCTTCAACAATGTAATAAACTACTGCACACTGGCCCTTTTTAGGGCAGCTGTTCACATGCTTCATGGTACTTATTCATGTTCATTCTGCAAACTTTTTGTGTACCCATGTTTCCTGAAAATCCCATGATGTTCTCTGTTCGACTTTTCTGTAGGCATGACAACAACCTTGCTCCCTGCTCATGCGAATTCATTGAAAGTTTATCTAGCCTTGGATAATTTTTTTAAAAAATAAATACATATTTATTGGTTTAAAATACAATCTTACAATAAAGGTAAGTACAACAAAGTTAAGCACAGAAAAGGAAAAAGAAAAGAGAAAAAAAAGAATTCTCCACATCAAAAAGTACAAAAAGTTTAAAAGTAACAACAAGAAGAAAACAACAATTAAAAGTACCAGATATTTATACAACATCATGTCTTATCCAATAAAGTCTTCTGTGAAAAGCTTCCAATCGTTCTCATTATAAAATATAGCCTTTGATAAATTTTTAATGCAATTTCTTTTCTCATTATTTGTTGAAGAATGGTTGCTTGGGGTGAAGGGGTGGGGAAACCACAGGATAAATTTTCAGCACACCACTAGGGAAGATGGCAACTGTGGCCTGTGCCTGCTCAGTCAACGGCCCAGATGTTGCTGGCTGAAAATTTCAAGGCCCCTGTTGTCTCTTATTATGCTTCTTTCTCTTTTAAAACAGACTTGGACACTACAGCTCTTCAGCAGAAGACTTCAAATAAAGGATGGTCCTCTGCTGGCTCTTCAAATGGAGGACAGCTTTCTATGATGTAACTACCCTACTCTCACAGCCAGACACACCCCATGCACTTAAAACACGTCTTTTCCAAACAGTTATGTGCGTTCAGTAGACTAGGGGGGCTGGGCTAGTAACCTACATGTCCCCCTGGTGCCTCACCACATCCCACTGTTCCCAAAGCCTCCTGGGAACCGTAGTTCTGTGATGTTAAAAGACTGTTCCCAGGGTAGTAAAGGTAAAGGGACCCCTGACCATTAGGTCCAGTCATGGCCGACTCTGGGGTTGCGGCACTCATCTCGCTTTATTGGCCGAGGGAGCCGGCGTGAGGGAAAGAGTGTGTTTCAAATGTACAGCCATGCAGAAGCTTACTTGAAAACAACAGCAGGGTCCCCCACCCCCTTCACGGTACGAAAGAGCTCAGTACTGATGAGTGGAATTGCAGCTTAGTTTTGGGAGGTGAGGGGAGGGAAAGGAAGAAAAAAAGAGAGAGGGTGAGCGAGAGAGAGGAAAGGGGGCTTGGAATTCCAGCTGACCATATGTGTCTGGATTCCTTTATGGTGTCCTAACACATAGTTAATTGTAAAGCTCTCTGCGGACAATGAAATTAGTGTCACAGTTTTTATTTTTATTTTTTAAAAAACAGCTTCGGCCTCTGGGTGCACCTGTTTACAGCCTTTTGGCAGACGTGGTCAGGAGGTTATGCGTATGTATGAACGACTGTGTCTGCCTCTGCAGCTGTTCCACTGCCATTAAAATACTACATTTATTTAGCCTTTCTGAACTCCACAGTTTGGGCTAATTAAAAAAAAGAAGAGGGAAAACAAGGAGATTCTTCCAGAGCCAGGTCTGGATTGCGACTAGAGTTTCGAGAACAGATCCAGCGTGTCAATTCTTCATGGCACCACTTATCAAGCTGCTCAGAAGATGCCAAGTTAAGTGGCAGCCATTGGACTCTTCAATTTTCCAAAAGCTACGGACCAGCTTCCCTTTGAAATCTCATAAGCAAACTGAGCAGACATGGGATAGAGGGATGGGGGTAGAAATTTGGCGTGGTTCACATTTTTGGGCAAAGCAACCTAATTCACACTTCCTGAAACAATACACAATGCAAAATACTGCTCTCCTTTAAAAATCTGCAGGTCTTCGAGGGTTGGCGATGCAATTCTCCAACCCAAATAATGCGGATATAAAAAAACACACCAAGAACTCAGCATATACTAAGGAAAAATATGCGTAAACATGTATGGGTCCCTGAAAATAAAAAGCAAAAATTATATTAGGGGGAATGGTTGGCAATATATATGCATTAGTAATAAATTGTTATTGTTTTATTATGCTGCCCATCTGACTGGGTTGCCCTAGCCACTCTGGGTGGCTCCCAACAAGAAACAGTAAAAACACAATGCAACATCAAACACGACAAACTTCTCTGAACAGATGTCTTTTTTTAAAAAATCACATAGTTGTTTATCTGTTTCATATCTGTTGGGAGGATGTTACACAGGGCAGGTGCCACTATGGAGAAGGCCCTCTGCCTGGTTCTCTGTAACCTCACTTCTTGCAATGTGGGAACTGCCAGAAGGCCCTCAGAGCTGGACCTCAGTGGCCGATGGGGGTGGAGACACTCCTTCAGGTATACTGGGACAAAGCCATTTAGGGCTAAACGACGTAGAGAAATGTGTATATGAGGATAAATTCAAACTAAAATGCTGGTGAATTTTCAAAAGCAGTTAAAAAATATATGGAAATGTGGAGAACTGAATGTAAGTTTGGAAAAATATGAAAGTGAGAGACACCAAAATCTGACAGATCCCTCCATCCTAACAGAAGGTGATTCTGTTTGTGTAGTTCTATTGGAGTGCAGCAGGGGACGCGGGTACCACAGAGCCTAGGACTTGCCGATCAGAAGGTCGGCGGTTCGAATCCCCGCAACGGGGTGAGCTCCTGTTCCTGCCAACCTAGCAGTTTGAAAGCACATCAAAGTACAAGTAGATAAATAGGTACTGCTCCAGTGGGAAGGTAAACGGCGTTTCCGTGCGCTGCTCTGGTTCGCCAGAAGTGGCTTAGTCATGCTGACCACATGACCCGGAAGCTGTACGCCGGCTCCCTCAGCCAATAAAGCGAGATGAGCGCCGCAACCCCAGAGTCAGTCATGACTGGACCTAATGTTCAGGGGTTCCTTTACCTTTACCTATTGGAGTGCAGCAGAAAGAGAGAGAGAGAAAGTGTCCTTAGTGCTCATGGCTACAGTGGCCTGTAAATGTAACTTTATAATAAACAGCAGACATTTTCAAAATTGAGTTACCTATGTGTCCATAAATGAGGACCACTAAATTGCTCCCCAGGAAGCTGTGTGGAATGAAATTGTGGATAGTTCTTGACTCTGCTTGCTGATTGGTTTCCTGGCATTTAAGAAGAGAGCCTTATTTCATGGCAAATCCCTGGAATGTGTTTGCACATTGAAATTCTAATCTGGGAAGGAGGCACAAAACGAATCCCATGTTCATTTTGGAAAACCACTTATGATCCCTGAGAACCATCCACTCTGCCTTGGACATCTTTCCTCCAGCTGTAGGTAGCCCAGCAGCATGGAATAATGAAGCCCATATTTAAAAGAATAGTTTCTGAGATACTTCAACTGTCTGAATATTTTTAAAACTGTTGTGGTTCCATAGTTCTACTATGCCAACTTTTATTTCCCTAAATATGGTGATTTCTGTGTGCGCAAAGCAGGGCGGGGGGGACCCTTAGCTTAATCTAGCCTTTAAAGCAAACAGACTTTTCCTACAGCAGTGGAATTTGTAAAAAAAAAGGTCACATAGTACCCTCATTGATAAAAGTGCAATTCCACCAGGCCTTAAGAGGCCCTACTTAACAGGATTAATGCACACGAGGCAAAATTATAGTACATTTCCTCTTCATTTTGAAGCAGGTTTTTTTTTTAGTGTCCCATTAAAGTGGAAGGTATCTCATATATGGAGGTTCCAGCCAACCTGTTCTTCCCTGGCACAGTTTGATATGCAGAACTAAATAGGTGGTGCTTTTCATAGCGACAACAGGGCAGCAGGGGACAGTGCAGTCGTGGGCGACCCTCTTACCTGACCTAGCAGTGAAGTCATTGCTGACTGCTTGCCAGGAGGGACAGGTGAGAAAGCTCACCTGTGCTCTGATGCATCCCAGATATCAGGCATGTCCTTCAGCAGCATCTGGTAAAAATGGAAATTTGTAATGTCCCCCCCTTTTTTTCAAACATCTTTACTGAAAATTCAAAAAGTACTTAATTATATGTGCACTAAACATGGTGAGTTCAGCCTTTCGCAAAAGGCTGGACTGGATGAATCCCAAGGCGGAATTAAGATTACCAGAAGAAATATCAACAACCTCAGATATGCAGATGACAGAACCTTGATGGCAGAAAGTGAAGAGGAATTAAAGAACCTTTAATGAGGGTGAAAGAGGAGAGCGCAAAATATGGTCTGAAGCTCAACATCAAAAAAACGAAGATCATGGCCACTGGGCCCATCACCTCCTGGCAAATAGAAGGGAAAGAAATGGAGGCAGTGAGAGATTTTACTTTCTTGGGTTCCATGATCACTGCAGATGGTGACAGCAGTCACGTAATTAAAAGATGCCTGCTTCTTGGGAGAAAAGCAATGACAGCATCTTAAAAAGCAGAGACATCGCCTTGCCGACAGAGGTCCGTATAGTTAAAGCTATGGTTTTCCTATTATCAATGTAGGGAAGTGAGAGCTGGACCATAAAGAAGGCTGATCACCGAAGAATTGATGCTTTTGAATTATGGTGCTGGAGGAGACTCTTGAGAGTCCCATGGACTGCAAGAAGATCAAACCTCTCCATTCTTAAGGAAATCAGCCCTGAGTGCGCATTGGAAGGACAGATCGTGAAGCTGAGGCTCCAATACTTTGGCCACCTCATGAGAAGAGAAGACTCCTTGGAAAAGACACTGATGTTGGGAAAGATTGAGGGCACAAGGAGAAGGGGGTGACAGAGGACGAGGTGGTTGGACAATGTTCTCGAAGCTACCAACATGAGTCTGACCAAACTGCAGGAGTCAATGGAAGACACGAATGCCAGGCGTGCTCTGATCCATGGGGTCACGAAGAGTCGGACACGACTAAAAGACTAAACAACAACAGAACATGATGAGACGTAAATAAGAGAGAGAAAAAGAAAAAAAGAAACTGAACACACATAGAAGGGAAAATAGGGGGACACACACACCCAAAACTGTATATTTTACAAAGTTGTTATTGTACTTCGCCAGATCTTAACCTATCACAGTATTTGTAAGAATGGATTCCAAATATTTGTCCATGGCAAGTCTGTGTTTATATGCAAGTTGTTCATATGTTGCGAGTTTGTATGAGTCTTCAATCCAATTATAGAAGGGAGCCGCATTTTTATTTTTATTTCCAGTTCATCAGTATCAGTCTTTTTGCTGTGGTAAGGGCACGGAGAGTCTGCTCGTATTGTCCTTTTGTAAGGTTCCATGCACTGGGCACATAATTCAAGAGGATATTTTGCTCTGTAAATGTAAGGTTGTTGCATACAGTTCTGTTGATGGTTTCAGTTACCTTCTGCCAAAAATCCTTCCATGTAGGACAATGAAAAAAACTATGTGTTTTAGAGAAGCATTATCCCTATTGCATCTCCAACATTTAGATACTTTAGAGAGCCCCCTTTTTAGACAAAAAATTGTAATCTGATAAAAATGGAAATTTGTCTTTCTGGGAATTTATGTTTGCAAATGGTTGTGGTGTTGGGATGAAAGAGTTGCCTTTGCTCTGGCTGTTATTCTGCTGAGTGGCCTAGAGAGAAGACAGAAAACTAAAAGTGACCCTGCCTGATCCACCGGAGGAAGGTGTCAAATGATGGGCAGCCACATCTAATGCAATTGTTGAAAGGGGGGAGATGAGACTCTGGAAGCAGGACTAAAAGCATGTCCTTGCTCCACACTCCACACAATTATGTCCTAGAAATGAGTAATGTGTGAACAGAGCACAGGGACTCAGCTACATTAGTAAAAATAAAACGTTATAAATGTGTTATAACACTGTGACACCAGATGGTGCTGTAGAGCTGAAACCAGAACTCTATGATGCAGCCCAGGTCAACATAATATTGAAATGATAATGTGAATTATATGATATCGACATACCTGATGCCTTAACACTGGTGCTTTTGAGTTGCTCTTATATCCGGCCTACAAATAATCTGGAGAAAATGCTTTCTGGCTCAGCTGTGATAAAGAGGGGCAGTGAAAATTCTGACTTTGAACAGCTGACAACTTTCTCAAAAGTGAAAATATGGAAACTCTATGAAATAACAGACGCTTTGGCACTCAAAGCAGACAGTAAGACAGCAAGAGGGATTGTGATATAATAAATATATCAGTGTAATATATAACTCTTGCATATTTTCCACCCAAAGGAATACTACTTTGCAGCTTCCTATTTGGAAGGTACACCTGTATCAAATTCATGAGCAACATGGTCCTGAACACACAAAAAGGGAGAACTTGATAGCACAGAAGTTTGATAGATTGATGTGTCTGTCTGTCAGTCTGTCCGTTTGTCCATGCTTCTCTTCTGGTGTCTCTGCAAGTGGGACTTCAGGAACTGCAGCTTGTTCTGACATCTGAACCTCAACAAACTGTGGCTAGTTTAAACGATGGTTAATGGAAACAAGGCGACTTCAAACTATGAAGGCTGGCTTGTTTAGACTACCCACAGTTAAGATCAGGCATAGGCAAACTTGGCCCTCCAGATGTTTTGGGACTACAACCCCCATCATCCCTGACCACTGGTCCTGTTAGCTAGGGATGATGGGAGTTGTAGTCCCAAAACATCTGGAAGGCTGAGTTTGCCTATGCCCGGTTAAGATTAATCAGAATTAAGAACTTGAATGCCATGCTAAATTGTGCTTAATCTAAAATGGAATCAAAAGCTTCCAATCACCTCCTTACAGCCACAGCTGAGCAAGGAAAGGTAATAAGGGAAGATGCAAGCCTGAGGCTTACTGTGGCTTATCCAGTCTGAGGCTATTTTGTGACTAGGCAAGACTAACTGCTTGCACCGCTCCCTCCCCCGGCCCCAATTGCTGACTTCGATTTTCAAAAACAGATGCCTTGTAGAAAAAAATGAACTTGAAACAGCTCGATTTATTGGATTTATATATCGGATATGGACTTGCAATGGAAGAACAAATCATGTGATCGTCTACCTAGAATTGTAGTATACTTGCAGCTGCCTAACCAGCGTTGCTCAGGAAGTCTAAGAAACCAAAATATCAACACAGGTTTGAAAGGATCAGTCTGCCATCTTGGTTCAAGAGGGTGTCCAGTTGTATCAAAACTTTGCCCCAAAGCTGATCCTTGATCGCAGGGACCATAATGAAAAAAACAGTTATGATACCTTAGACAAACAGCTTTCTAAAATATATTGTACGTTGTCCTAGGAGGTTGACTGGGGTCCAGGCCGGGAGAGAGGAAAAGAAAGAGAAGTCAACAGTACAGTGGTACCTCAGGTTACAGACGCTTCAGGTTACAGACGCTTCAGGTTACAGACTCCGCTAACCCAGAAATAGTACCTCGGGTTAAGAACTTTGCTTCAGGATGAGAACAGAAATTGTGCAGCAGCGGTGCAGTGGCAGCAGGAGGCCACATTAGCTAAAGTGGTACCTCAGGTTAAGAACAGTTTCAGGTTAAGAACGGACCTCCGGAATGAATTAAGTTCTTAACCAGAGGTACACTGTATTTCAATAGTAGAAACCTCCCCCCCCCCACTTTTTATAGCATTCCCTCTCTTTTTGTTATGGCTGCTAGATCTCTCTTTGAAAGAAAACAGGAGAATACATTTCCTTCAGCTTGACACCACCTGAGTCTCCCTCCAACACCTTCTCCTTGAACTCTTTGTTCTTTCCCCGAATCCGTTAAATTTATGTGCACTGTCTTTTTGAATCTCCCTGGTACTCATTCATCAGGGAAAGTGTTCCAAACTGATGACCACTAAATTCTTCAGCTTAAATTAAACCATTCTGTGTGGACGTACATTTAAACATCTTCCAGCTACACTGTTCCACCGACAGATAGACGCGTTCTCTAAAAACGTTGCCAGCATGTCTTTTTCAACATATTTTAACAAAACACTCTGGCTCTCTCAAACCGCCCCTACCAAATAATATATATTTAGGCTGGCAGAGTCTGGAGACCAAATTTGTTCTTCTGGTGCATGCATTGGGTTCTCATTGAAGTTAATGAGAACCACCTGTCAAGGGTTCTTGAGCAACACTTTGATGAACAATGAACTTAAGAAGAGTGATGGTTGGTTGCTGCAATTTTACTGCTTGAGCAACATCAATGATCAAAAGATGAAACATGCACAGCCAACACAATCGCATACACAAGCAACAAATTGTCGGCTGCCTGGGTCCAATTTTGTGTGTGTTACACAGTTCTGAAACGGCTCAACCAATTTCCTCCAACTTGAAGTGATTCCCCAAGTCTATTGGTTGGTTAAATTTGGTTTAACTGTTTGGTTTAACAAAAACTGCTTGTTAGGAAATGGTTAGCAGGTTTTGTGTGGTATAAGCAGCCTTCTACATTGCTCATTGTGTGGGATGCGGGTGGCGCTGTGGGTTAAACCACAGAGCCTAGGAATTGCCGATCAGAAGGTCGGCGGTTCGAATTCCTGCGACGGGGTGAGCTCCCGTTGCTCGGTCCCTGCTCCTGCCCACCTAGCAGTTTGAAAGCATGTCAAAGTGCAAGTAGATAAATAAGTACCGCTCTGGCGGGAAGGTAAATGGCGTTTCCTTGCGCTGCTCTAGTTCACCAGAAGTGGCTTAGTCATGCTGGCCACATGACCTGGAAGCTGTACGCCGGCTCCCTTGGCCAATAAAGCGAGATGAGCGCCGCAACCCCAGAGTCGGTCACGACTGGACCTAATGGTCAGGGGTCCCTTTACCTTTACCTTTACATTGCTCATGTGGGGTGTTTCTGTCAGATACTCTTCCATCAGTTTGTCTCTCCCAGTGAACATTTGAGCTCTGAAGTCTGCAAGTGTCTTGTTCCTATTCCTATGCTCCTTCAACTAAACGGTAGTCCAGTGGGAGGCAATAATGTTGAACGAACAGACTGGACTTTGAAATGTTTGAACAAGAAATGCTCTTTCACTATAAAATGCAACTTCTGTCCCGGATTAGAGAATTCAGAAAAAACACTTTTAAAAGACCCATACAACTTCTGAAGCCCTCCCCCCAACTATTTTAACAAAAGACGTAAGTGTATGAGTAACTCAAATAAGTATATTGCCTTTAAAAGAACAGGGCATTAAGATGAATTATTTTATAAGCAAAGTTATGTAAAGCTGGCCTAAATCTGTAATACAGGGATGGGAAACCCACTGCTCTCCAGATGTGGCTGAGAGCAGTGAGAGTTGGAGTCTATTAAGATTTGGAGGGCCACATGACCCCTGTCTCTGCTTTAATCCTAGCCACAATGACATGGGGGAGAGCTCCATTGAATATAGTGGGCCTTACTTATGAGTAAGAATATGACTGAGCTGTAAAGCTCTAACTCTAATTAGACATGATGGTGGCAGACCCATGGGTTGTTGAAATAAAGCAAGCAGGTGGTTGGAGTTTATGTGAACTTGCATTTCAGCTCTAGAACATCTTGAAAATAGCCAAAACTTGGGTTGCTATTTAAGGAAGGTTCTATCCATTAGAACAGAGCTGCGGAACCTGTCATTTACCATACGTTGTTGGACTCCAACTCCTGTCCAACCCCAAACAGCGTGGCCAATGGTCAAGAATGATGGGAGTGCAGTCCAACAATGTCTGGAGTTCCTGTTGTGTTAGAAAATGACTCTGTATACAGCCAAACAACATTTTACGTCCAGAATGAGCAGAATCTAGTATAGAAAGATAAATCGTATTCAATACGTGGACCGTCAGTGTTATACTAATTTGACCATCATAATCCAAGTGATATCAAGGTGTATAAGGTAAAAGGTAAAGGACCCCTGGATGGTTAAGTCCAGTCAAAAGTGACTATGGGGTTGCGGCGCTCATTTTGCTTTCAGGCTGAAGGAGCCGGTGTTTGTCCACAGACAGCTTTCCGGTTCATGTGGCCAGCATGACTAAACCACTTCTGGTGCAACGGAACACTGTGACGGAAACCAGAGCACATGGAAACACCGTTTACCTTACTGCTGCAGTGGTACCTATTTATCTACTCGCACTGGCATGCTTTCAAACTGCTAGGTTGGCAAGAGCTGGGACAGAGCAATGGGAGCTCACCCCATCGCGGGGATTTGAACCGCTGACCTTCTGATCAGCAAGCGCAAGAGGCTCAGTGGTTTAGACCACAGCACCACCTATATGCTTCCCCCCCGAAAAATAACAAAAATATAAGATTAGCCCTGCTGCTTTAGACCAAAACCTCATCTAGTTCAACATCCTGTCTCATACAGTGGGCCCCCAAGTATGACCTGAGTCCAATTCAAACAATGGCCATTGCAAATTGCTCCACCCAACCTGCTCTTCAGGCCTCGGTCCAGTATATCTGAAGGAGCGTCTCCACCCCCATCGTTCTACCTGGACACTGAGGTTCAGCGCTGAGGGCCTTCTGGCAGTTCCCTCACTGCGAGAAGCCAAGTTACAGGGAACCAGGCAGAGGGCCTTCTTGGTAGTGGCGCCCGCCCTGTGGAACGCCCTCCCACCAGATGTCAAAGAGAACGACAACTACCAGACTTTTAGAAGACATCTGAAGGCAGCCCTGTTTAGGGAAGCTTTTAATGTTTGATGTATTACGGTATATTAATATTTTTTGGGAAGCTGCCCAGAGTGGCTGTGGAAGCCCAGCCAGATGGGCGGGGTATAAATAAATAAAAATAATAATTATTATTTGTGATGGTCCCGGGGGGAGGTTACCGTGAGGCGTGGTCAGAGTTTGGTCCTGGGTCAAGGGTCTGGAGACTGTCCACCAAGGGTGAAGCGGGGTCCAGAGCGAGAAGCCGGGCGTGGTCAGGAACTCTGGAAGAACAGGTCTGGGTGCTGGCAGAAACAGGTTTCCAACGACATTGCTCCCGCAACCTGGGACTGGGCTGACTGACCTTTATCTTCTATGAGGCCAGGGGCGGTCCCGGCCCACAGGTGACCCGCCTCTCCTGGCCTTAAGGCGAGCACTCCTCCTGAGAGAACCCAGTTCCCTCTGCCTCTCTGCCCTGAGCCTCTGCAGCTCAGGAGAGGCTGGAGGGTTACTGGACCCAGGGGCAGCTTCACCTTCCCCTGAGAGGGCTGGGAGAGGCGCACCTGCAGGCAATGGGTCCTCAACCACCTCCGGAGCCAGAGTGGATTCATTTGGTGTGTGCTCCTGAGGATCTGGCACAGGTGCAGACCCTTCAGACTCAAGCCCCTGCCCCGGTTCAGCCAACCCTGGAGGTGGGGACTCCTGTGCAGGCTGGGACTCCTCAGGTTCAGCTTCTGAATCAGACTCCCAGGCCATCACATTATTTGGGGACCAACAATCATTTCCTAAATGGATAGGAAAGCAGTGGGGAGAGCGGATCTCAGTAGACAACTAACCAGAAAAGAAAGGGTTAAGCAGTGCCACTCCCCTGGTTGTCTACTCTTGCTTGCAGCCTCCAGGGCTGCTTTTCAGTTTGAAAACAAAACCATACCCCAAAGTGCTGGGGAGGGTTCTTTTAAGCATCCTCTGTGAGATGTCTAGTTTAGCCTACCGTTGCATGGGAAACTGGGATTTTCCTCCCCCATTAATGAATGCAACATACCTTCTTTGATTCGAATGCTTTTGGAGTGCTGAAAAAATCCAAAAGGCATTGCTTCCTGCACCAGCAGCACGCCTTTATACTTCTCAGTAGTTCACCTCTACCCAGCTGCTATTTCTCATTAACAAGCGTTTGGCTGGCCTAGCCAAGGGGGGGAGTGTTGACACTTGAAAGGCAGGCACTGGCAGATCTCAACTGCAGAGGCAGGAAACTGCCTGAAGGTGGACGGCTGATGGAGGAACAAGGATTTGCAGGCACCCCTGGCAGCAGCTTCCAAGGAGGGGGGCAAATTCCCACCTCCAGAATAAATTCTATATAGTTTGCCCCATAGAAGCCTTTGGGGAAAGAGCCTGTCTAACTTGCATGGCCCTCTCTCCTCATTTGCAAGGCCCCAGTCTGTATTATATTCTGCAGCCATGTTAGATACGAAGACACAATATCTATCTGTCTGTCTGTCTATTGCCTATCTCTATCTATCTATCTATCTATCTATCTATCTATCTATCTATCTATCTATCATCTATCTATCTATCTATCATCTATCTATCAATCATCTATCTATCATCATCTATCTACAGTGGTTCCTCAGGTTACATACACTTCAGGTTACAGACGCCGCTAACCCAGAAATAGTACCTCAGGTTAAGAACTTTGCTTCAGGATGAGAACAGAAATCGTTCTCCAGCAGCGCAGCGGCAGCAGGAGGCTCCATTAGCTAAAGTGGTGCTTCAGGTTAAGAACAGTTTCAGGTTAAGAACTGACCTCCAGAACGAATTAAGTTCTTAACCCGAGGTACCACTCTATCTATCTATCATCTATCATCTATCTATCTATCTATCTATCATCTATCTATCTATCTATCTATCTATCTATCTATCATCTATCGGCTTGTTAGCAGGTAAGAGATGGTCATGAAGTTAATTGCTACAGGCATTGCCTTTCAATATCTGCCCTCCTTGCTTCCCTGCCTCTTTCCCCAACCAATCAACAGCTTTCGGGCCCTAAGAAGAATCTGAGAAAACGTCCCGCCTCCCCAGGACCTGCATTTTGAACATGATGCGTCAAGAAGAGTATCTCTTCCTAAGAGCTATAGCTCAATGACAGAGCATCTGCTTTGCATACAGAAGGTCCATGTTTCAATCTCTGGCATTTCCACATTAGGATGGGACCAGCTTCCTTTTGAAGCTCCAGAGCAGTGGTTCTCAACCTGTGGGTCCCCTGTTATTGTTGGACTACACATCCCATCACCCCTGAGCTCTGGCTAGCTAGGGGTGATGGGAGTTGTAGTTCAACAACATCTGGGGACCCACAGGTTGAGAAAGGTTGCTCTAGAGCATTGTTTCCCAAACTTGGGTCTCCAACTGTACTCAGACTACCATTCCCATCATCCCTGACCACTGATCTTGCCAGTTAGGGGCGATGGGAGTTGTAGTCCAAAAACAGCTGGAGACCCAATTTGGGAAACTCTGTTCTAGAATGTTGCCTCTAGCCATAGTAGCCAATATGGAAGTAGATGGACTGAAGTTCTGACTCTGTATTATTCAGCTTCCTATATTCTCATTACTCTGCAATCTATACAGTGCCTGGTGCTTGCCTTTTTACCCATTGGCCAGAATGTTTGATGGCAGGAGCAAGGTTACTTCTTAGTGAGCCACTGAATAGAACACCAAAAAAGCAGTGTTCTGTGTTTTTCCACAAGCAAAAGGCCTAGGACATGGGTGGACATTTTTGAGGGAGTGGGTCACAGGCCACATTTCTCTAGAGATCACTAGCATTACAGGTGTAGCAGTGAGTGGTGCCTCAGTCAAAACTGGCAAAAAGAACCAGCCCATTCTCTGTTTCTTCTGCCCCTTCTTTCTCTCATTTTCTAACACTGCTTCTCTCTCTCTCTCTCTCTCTCTCTCTCTCTCTCTCTCTCTCCAACCCAAAAAGTAGCAACAAATTATTCTTGCCAGGGATGAGAACTGCAGATCGATTTTGAAATTAAGCCAAGGGCCACAAAAAGTGAAATTGAGGGCCACATACATCTATGGTCAGTGTTGGTGCTGACCTTTAAATCCCTAAACGGCCTCGGTCCAGTATACCTGAAGGAGTGTCTCTACATCCATCGTTCTGCCCGGACACTGAGGTCCAGCGCTGAGGGCCTTCTGGTGGTTCCCTCGCTGCGAGAAGCCAAGTTACAGGGAACCAGGCAGAGGGCCTTCTCGGTACTGGCACCCACCCTGTGGAACGCCCTCCCATCAGATGTCAAAGAGAAAAATAACTACCAAACTTTTAGAAGACATCTGAAGGCAGCCCTGTTTAGGGAAGCTTTCAATATTTAATAGGTTATTGTATTTTAGTGTTTTGTTGGAAGCCACCCAGAGAGGCTGGGGAAACCCAGCCAGATGGGCGGGGAATAAATAATAAATTATTATTATTATTATGGTTTAGGCATTTGCTTTTTCAACCAAAAGCTGAACATTCACAGAGAGGGTCTGGATTATCCCTGAAGGGGGGCTGGGCTCTGATGTTAGTACAGTCCTGGCATTTGGTCATAATGTGGACAGGATGGGTAACTGACATCACAAAGGACTTCCACCTCATGCTGTTAGGTATCGTGGATGAATCACCTTGGGCATGATCCAGCTGCTTTGAAGCACCATTGACTCGAATTGGAAGGCTGCAAACCTTTCCCGCTGAAACCAATGGGACAGAAAAGTTTTGAACTTTGGCTGAATTGTACCCCGTGATTTGGTTATGTTGACATTTTGTATTATTATTGCTATTCTTATTCTTATTATTTGTTAGTTGCTTGTTACTCAAAGGTCTCCAAGCAAGTTGAAACACATTTAAAATAATAAATACTGTTACACACCACCCTTATCTCCAACCAGCAGTGCACACAACGTTCCAGCCACTTACCCAGAGTTTGTGTTTCTTTTGAACACTGGGCACAGGGTAAACTGCAGTGTCTTTATGATATATGGTTTATTTAGACATATACAACCTGAATTTATAATGAAGAGAAGGTTCAGAGCATTCACATCTCAAGATGATTATTTAGGAGCAGCAGGCTTAGGTCTACAAACAGAGGAAGCAGCCTTTCTTCTACCCTGCTCCAGCCAGCCCATCAAGAGTTCTTCTGGGCGCCTTTCTGGCCTGCTTTCCGAACCTCTAGCAAAGTGCCACTATTCATTCAGCCTACATCACCCAGCACTGAAATCTTAACCATTTTCTTGCCTTGCCCACTAACACACACAGCTAGAGAAGGAGCCATTCTCCTCCTTGCCTGGCAGTTTTGCCCTCTGATGGTTTCCTCGATGGGCCATCACTGGCCTTTGGCCCCTGCTAATGGCCCATCTTAGCGGCTATTCCAAGTTGGAATGGGCTGCTAGCATAAACTAATTACAGAGAGGTTCATTGTTTCTCACAGTTTAATCAAACCTTGATTAATTCTAATTTTTTCTAAATCCAGGGATTATGGGGAGTCTTCCCCCCAGGAACTCATAACAATACATTGCAGTATACTATAAAAACAGAACACAACATAGTGATGGTGTTTAATTACATATAGGGTGTTTTTTTTGGGGGGGGGGTGTATGTGTGCTCAGGAATAAATCTGCTTCTGTATTTACCTACATGATATTTGCATTTTCAGACCTTTGTTTGTCATGCTTTACATCTTTAAGATGTATATTTTTTAAGAAACTTCAAGCATACAGTTCAAATTTAGACACCTGAATTGTACAGAGGCCCTAACTGATGAGGGAAGTAGCACATATGCAGCCAAATAACACCGTACGGATGAAAACTGACAGTTATTTGGCCAGTTCTAGTTTTTTTTTACCATAAATATACAGGTGTGAGTTGTACATGCTCTTATCATCGCAGGGAATGGAAAATTTCCCCTCCCCACCACCGAGTGTCACGTACATCAAACACAGACAGCATAAGCTAAAAGTAGATTTTTACAGTCCTTTGTGTACCCTTTGTGTTTCCTGTGAAGGGGAACCACAAAACAGAAATACACCCACCGCTTGAAGTTTCCTTTCCTCAGAGCTAAACTCAGCTGAGTTTTGTATGGTTTTGGCCACAGCTACATCTGCTTTTAGCTTTCTAATATGTGGTTCAGTCAAGTGAAAAATTCAGAAGACGGTACCCATCACTTCGTAAATGTTGAGCTCAGGCCCCCAACATCCTTTACAGCTGCCATCTCACAAACCCATCATGTCACCAGTGTCTCCTCGCATCCCTAGACCTCAAAGACTTCTTTCAGATGTCACAAAACAGAGTTAGTCAGATGTGGGTACTTCTGGGGCCAGCTGTGATGTGATGTATGTAGAATTATCCTCCCTCCTTTTAATCCTTACAACAGCTCTGCGAAGTAACTTAGGCCGAGTGATAGAGACTGGCCTGAGATCACAAGAATACGAAAAGAGCTTGTTGGATTAGGCCAATGGCCCAGCACCCTGTTCTCATGGTGACAAACAAGATGTTTATGGGAATCCCACTTGGTGGGGTAATCTCATGAGAGCAGTTCAACATGACTGTGGTGGAGTTCAAATCCAGGAGCCCTTGGTCCACACCTGACTCTGTCTCCATTACAACCTGCTGAGAAAAGGAGAGAAATTGGACACACCTAATTAGACATACTGGGACGCGGGTGGCGCTGTGGGTTAAACCACAGAGCCTAGGACTTGCCGATCAGAAGGTCGGCGGTTCGAATCCCCGCGACGGGGTGAGCTCCCATTGCTCGGTCCCTGCTCCTGCCAACCTAGCAGTTCGAAAGCACGTCAAAGTGCAAGTAGATAAATAGGTACCGCTCTGGCGGGAAGGTAAACTGCATTTCTGTGCACTGCTCTGATCACCAGAAGCGGCTTAGTCATGCTGGCCACATGACCTGGAAGCTGTCTGCGGACAAACGCCAGCTCCCTTGGCCTATAGAGCGAGATGAGCGTGCAACCCCAGAGTCAGTCACGACTGGACCTAATGGTCAGGGGTCCCTTTACCTTTACCTAATTAGACATAGCACTCTCTGTTAACTTCATGTTAATTTCATGCTGACTCCTCTGCTTAGATCTGGGTGTCCACTGTGGTGATTTTGGGCACCATGGTACCCTCAGACACCCTTTGTTATCTGTCAAGGACTTCCACCCCGACCCTCTCACTATATACTAATCTTTTAAAGCTGATTTTTTTATTTGGCTCTTGGTACATGCTCAAGCCAGCAATTTGTATTCAGTACCCGAACGGAGTTTATAATCCTGACAGACAAAAATCCATTCTTGGTTCCCTCACCTATGAAGGATTTAATATCGGCAGCATAATTTAGGAAGAAGAAATAATTTTTTTTGAACAGTTGCTGCTGTTAAATAACTGGCATTTTAAAGGTGAAGCTATCATATCCACACTTTCTGAAACAATGTGAGAACCAAAGAACTAAAATTCGCACTGATCCAAATTTTGCAGTGAAATTCCCCAACCAACCAAGGTTGACAAATATGCCTGCATGAGGGGAAAGTGTACATTAAAATGAATAAACGAGTGAAAATAACACACACAAATGCATCAAATAAGGGGAATTTGCTTGGGAAAATGTGTACATGAATCAAAACTGCATTACAATGTGTTTATTAGGAGAAATTTGCACTAAAATGCTGGCACCATTCATCAGTATTCATGAGTATTACATCACCATAGGTGCTAAGAGTCATTTTCGTACCTCACGATATCTGGACAGTTTTATCCTAAAGTATCTCCTACTATGTTTCATTAACTGTGTTGTTTTCTGATCCACGTATATGATGCACTTTCTCTCTGCCAATAAGAGAGATTGCTTGCTTGATTATTTTGGTTAATTACTTCAGAAATGTGAACTGAATTTACAGTTGGAAAACTGAGAAACTGAGAGAGCTGAGATATCTTTCATCCCTAGGAACGAGCAACCTTACAAATTCAGAAATTCTAGAGCTCCTTCTGAATTCAGAAGAATTCTGAGCAACCTTCTGAATTCAGAAATCCTAGAGCTCCTTCTTTTGGACCAGAGCGCTCCTTTGCTTTGGATCATAGTTCGCACCAGCCTCAGCATTTCTGGGGGGAATTTCTGAAGCGTGATGCTTGTTTCTTGATCTTTGGCAAGTCAAAACCACTTTTTTTGTGTGTGTGCTCTGGTTTTTACTTTTTGAAATAAATATGGCAACCCTATGATAGGAGCTGTAGGCCCAAACATCTGGGGGTTGAGGAAAGCTGGTCTAGGAGAGATCCCTTGGCAATATCCACAGGATCCTCTTTCAACAAGCTTTCAAAGTGGAGGCTTCTCCCAGTTGATACCTATGTTGGATTTGAAATTGCTTTTTTATATTTGCAATTGCTTTAACTGTTTTTATATATGCCGATGTATTATATATCCTTCTATCATATGATGGAATCGCTTTGAGATGTTTCCTAGGGCGATGATGAAGATGGTGTCCTTTTTTGAGGCTGTGCTGCTCTTTAAAAAAAGTTGGAAAGATCTCTGCCATGCGACCAGACAATCCTATATATAAATGATTAAAATTAAGGAAGGTCTTAGCAAGAGGAAGTGTAGAATATTTTCTTAAGCTCAACGACCCCAAAGTAGGATAGCGACTTACAAGCAACATCTCCTTCCTTCTGCACTTCCTCCAACTTGATTAGTTGTGCAACAAAACTCAAAGCCATGGGAACGGGAAGAGCAGAACATCTGTATGCCATTGCTTAGCGGGGGTGAAGTTTGCATTTAGAAAGCAATTGCATTGTTGGGCTAGAGACAACAGGAAGCAGGAGCAGACAGCCCCTCGCCCCTCGACACAAACACACACAGACTTAACCTACCACTGAACCTTTGCCCTTGAGTGACCAGTGCTCTTAGGGCAGAGGTCAAAAGGTGGCAGGTTGACAGAAAATGGAGCTCTATTGGATCAAACTGATCGTGAAAAATTCCTTTGTGCTTTGCTATTCTGCGTTGTCGTTTTACACAAGCAGCGTGCTCATGTAGTGGAGTCTGGAATGAATAAGTTAGGGGGATTCCTCATATTGGTAAGAAAGCAATAGGGGATGTTAGGAAGAGCATCAACAGGAAAACATGTCAAGGAATACTGCTAAAGGCCTGGAATCTATGCAATCAATAGGTGTGCAATATGTTCGGGAAGTGGGATTTTTTTCTCCTGAAGTTGCTAGAGGATGGTTTTGTTGTTGTTGTTTTGGTGGGGAGGGGAGGGGAGGGGAGGGGAGGGAAGGGGGAGAGGTTGCTAGCTGAGAGATTTCCTTCCTGTATGAAAAGGAGTTGTCCCACAGTCTGAAGTGACACACTCCATTTTGCCCTGTCAGAATCTGGAGTCAATGTGTGTCACTGCTGTAGCTCCTGAGATGTTCTGATCGCAAGTTCCCAGTTCAGCTGTAAAAGAAAACTACATTTAATTAACCCATGAATTGCATCAGGCCAAGAAGGGAGGATGAAAGATGTAAAGCAAGCACAGAATGTGAAAGGTCCAGACCTATCTTGGGTTAATGAGGCAGAAAAAGTTGTGTCCAAACTTCTCCAGTGACACAGGAAGGCCAGTGTTGGGATAGTGTCGGTATACATAGTATAGTCACTACATGGTGCTGGACTTAGTTGTATTTGGGTAAAGTTAGGAGTTTCCCATTGCTGTTTTGTTCTTGTTTAAGACAGGTGCTGTGCCCAACATTTCTCCAATGAAAATAGGGACATCCTAATCATAATCAACAACTTTATTATTTGTACCCTGTCCATCTGACTGGTTGCCCCAGCCACTCTGGGTGGCTTCCAACATAGTTGTATCGTTGCTTATCTCCTTGGCTCGGGGGTCACATAACTCCATATCCTCCAACATCTCTCTGATGAAAAGAGGGAGGTCCTCCATACCCTCCAAAAGTCATCTCATTCTTCTAATACATATCGATGTTCCTCTGAAAAGCCAGTGTAAGGGGCCAAGAACACTTGCTAGGCCATTCACAAAAAAAGCCCTTTTTCTTATGAGGATGCTCTCTGGGTTTCGAGTGGAGGAAGGGTTTATGTTTCTCAGTTAACTAAGAGGGTGGGCTTAAAGATCTCCCCCAAACTCAGCTCAAGGAGTCTGCATGCACAACGTCTGAGAAATGAAAACCTCCAGGAAGTCAATGGCCTTTCTTTGCAAGTCAGCACTGGAGCTATAGCCTCCAACATTTCTCCAATGAAAACAGGGACATCCTATTCCATCATCGGGACGCGGTTGGCACTGTGGGTTAAACCACAGAGCCTAGGACTTGTCGATCAGAAGGTTGGCGGTTCGAATCCCCGCAACGAGGTGAGCTCCCGTTGCTCGGTCCTTGCTCCTGCCACTCTAGCAGTTCGAAAGCACATCAAAGTGCAAGTAGATAAATAGGTACCACTCGGGCGGGAAGGTAAACGGCGTTTCTGTGCGCTGCTCTGGTTCGCCAGAAGCAGCTTAGTCATGCTGGCCACATGACCCAGAAGCTGTACGCCAGCTCCCTCGGCCAATAAAGCGAGATGAGCGCCGCAACCCCAGAGTCAGTCACGACTAGACCTAATGGTCAGGGGTTCCTTTACCTTTATTCCATCATCACCATCATCATCATCATCATCATCATACCCTACCCATCTGCCTGGGTTGTCCCAGCCACTCTGGGCTGCTTCCAACATACCGAATTTTTCACTCTATAACACGCACCCGACCATAACACGCATGTAGTTTTTAGAGGAGGAAAATCCGTAGGCATGCCACCCATAGGCATTCCCTCCATAACACGCACAGACATTTCCCCTTACTTTCTAGGAGTAAAAAAGTGAGTGTTATGGTGCAAAAAATACGGTATATAAAAATATAATAAAACATTAAACTTTTTTTAAAAACCCTACACAGGGCTGCCTTCGGATGTCTTCTAAAGGTTATATCTCCTTGGATCTGGGGTCGCATAACTCCATATCCGCTAGCATTTTTCCAATGAAAACAGAGACATCCTCCATACCTTCCAACATTTCTCCAATGAATATAGGGGTGCCCTAAGGAAAAGCGGAGCATTTTGGGATCAAATCAGAAACCCGGGAAGCTTCTGTAAATCTGGGACTATCGCTGGACAATAGGGACACTTGGAGGGTCTGTAGTAAAGTTCTTGTTTTGCTTCTGGACTTAATTCTGCTTAAAGGGCCCACACAGTAAATGTAAGGCCATTGCAGACCATAGGGTTCCGACAAGCTTGTACCTGGCTAGATGCTTATATGGCCATTCCTCTCTTTCAAGGTTAGTTTTCTTTAATCAGTGGTAGTTACATACGCTAGAAATAGCTTGTATTTCCCACAGTGCTTGTTCCCAGCATTGGTTGGAAGGGCGAAGGAAAAAAAAATAGGTCAGCTGAAAGTTCTGCAGCTATGAGACTCTAATTTGACTATGCTACGAAATGCATTCATCTTGTAGTAGTTAGGAAAGGATTTTCCTGACATTCTTAATTATTTTGAACGAGCATTTCCCCCACCGTGCTCCTCATGGATGCCAAGTTTTGAGAAGGAAGTGCTTTGTCTTTCAATTAAAAATATCCAAACAACCCCACAGAGTCATGATGGGAGAAACCAAAACAAGTCTTCCACTGCAGATAGATGGAGGCTGGCTGATCCTGATCCATGGGGAGGGAGAGGAAGCCCCCTTTGCTGACCTTCTGCCCTCTGGCATCACAGGTGGCGAATGAGCACAAAGGAGACTTGGCTGTAGATGCCGCTTGGGTACTTTACGTCGGCCGGATTGTAAACTTGTCCATTTACGAGCACCCCGTGGGGTTCCCACCAAGTCGGCAGACACAATTGCGGCTGGAGGGAAATCGCCATATCCATGAAGTCTCCTCTGATTGCCGCTATTAATAAAATGGGGGCCATAAACAAATTTACAGCGTGTTGTTTTCAAGGCGGGGTAAGGGGTGGGGGCTCAGCAATAAAGCAAGTGTGCAAAGAATGGCATGAAGAGGAGGGTGGAGGGAGGAAAGGAGGAAGGAAGAGGAAACCATGTAAGCCAGGGCAACAGGAATGGATTGGGCAACCCAGAAGAGAACACAGGCCATGTGGGTCTCAAATGTACCCAAATAGTTTTTTATCCGCTGGATGTTCCACCACAAAAGCCAGCTTGCCTTTTATGAATTTATGTCTTTTAAAAATGAAGTAAAATAAATAAATAAATCAAAGCTGGCTTGCCTTTTTTCCTGAGCAAAGTCGAAACAGATGCCACTTTTAACATTTCCAAATGCGGACAAGAGAAGGCTGAAGTATGGTGAGATGTGTCTTGCTCTTCCCGTTTCTGGAGATGTCCCAGATGTTTGTGTGCTCCTCTTGTTCTGCTGCTGCTGTTTTCAAATGGTAGTTCAGCTATGCTTCTTTCATAGAATCATAGAGCTGGAAGAGACCCAAGGGTCATCTAGTCTAACCCCCTGCAATGCCGGAATCTCAACTAAAGCATCCATGACAGATGGTCATCCAGCCTCTGCTTTATTTCAGTTCTTTGTATCCTGATTTTAAAATGATCTTCCTCCCCACCAAGAAGCGCACGTCAATGAAACAATAAAATAAATGAATAAATAATTAAATCTATGTAGGATATTTTCTTTCTTCAGTTTTTTTTAAAATAATGTTTTAAAACACCTGAAAGCTACCATACTCTGAATTCATCCCATTGGCCCACCTAGATCAGTTAATGCAGTGATTGACAGCAGGTCTTTAGGGTTTTAGACAGGACTTATCGGGAATACTGCAGTCAGAAGCTGTGCCCAAGCGGAAAGCACTTAAATGTCTGGGAAAATACAGACGTATGGTAAACCACGTTGGCAGTGTTGTGTTTGGTGATTTTCCTTAAAAAAGAAGAAGCATTTTTTCTGTCCAGATTTTTACTGCTTGAAATATGGCAACCCTACTCTCTGCAGACAGAGCCTTTGTTTCATGGATTATAGTCCTTCCCTCAAAAGTACAGCCTTTCCCCTATGAAAATAGGGACATCCTAAGGAAAAGCAAGGGATGCGGGGGGCACTGTGGGTTAAACCACAGAGCCTAGGGGCTTGCTGATCAGAAGGTCGGCGGTTCGAATCCCCGCAAGGGGGTGAGCGCCTGTTGCTCGGTCCCTGCTCCTGCCAACGTAGCAGTTCGAAAGCATGTCAAAGTGCAAGTAGATAAATAGGCAAGTAGATAAACGTCGTTTCCGTGTGCTACTCTGGTTCGCCAGAAGCAGTTTACTCATGCTGGCCACATGACCCGGAAGCTGTACACCGGCTCCCTCGGCCAATAAAGCGAAATGAGCGCCGCAACCCCAGAGTTGGCCACGACTGGACCTAATGGTCAAGGATCCCTTTACCTTTACCTTTACCTTTACCTTTACCTTGTTCTCTGCAGACAAAGCATGGACTATAATCTTTCCCCCAAAAGTACAGTCTTTCCCCGATGAAAATAGGGACATCCTAAGGAAAAGCAGGACATTCTGGGATTGAATCAGAAACTGGGATGACTTCTGTAAATCTCTGGCTTTGCATGCTCACATGTGGTAGGCCCAATCAGGACTTTGCACTGATTTTTCTTCCTTGGAACTGTCTGCTTACATACGTGGTGGCAAAATCACGCAGATGCCAGATGCACACAGGGACATGGCTATTGTTATTTTGCTTCCTTTGGCTGCGTGTATTATTTTGTGTTTTTCAGGAAAACAAGAGACCATAAAAGGATATGTCTTCCTGCATCAATCACATTAATGCCTGGAAACGGAACCATGTAGCAAGTAAATAAATTGCTCCTTTTAGGAATCCTATATTCCTTACGTTGAAGATAAACGGCGCTATTAGATGTCAGTGAGAAGAGAGGAATGCTAAATAGGGACAGATTATTTATACTTTTCTGATATCACAATAAGCTGCCACTCCAGCCTGCAATTTGTATTCAGTTCATTAGTCCTTAATTAATGCCCCCATAATATAAAGAGTAAACAATGGCAGCTCTCCTTTGTTGCTTAATTAAGCAGAACGAGACTTCCCGAAACGTGGAACCTCAGGAGCGGAAGGTATTGTGCCTCTATGCACGGGGAAGCCAACAATAATATGAAAAAATGCAATTGCTTTGCCAAGATTTGCTTCCCTGTGAAGTTGAAGCCTCTGCAAGTTACACAGAGCATTGTCAGACATATGTGGATTCCGCTTTTTTCCTTCAACACAGCTTGAGAAATATATTTTTCAGTACCAATCACCTCCTCATCAATCTGCAGGCTTGCCATCTGTCTTGAGAAACTTTGACTGACAGCGCAAACCTACGTGCTTTTAAAATTCATTATGAATTACACTTAAATCCCACTTTTCCTCCAAGGAGCTATCAGTCTGAACTAAATGGTATGGGGACATTTGAAGCTGCCTTATATTGAGCCAGACCTTTGGTCTATCCAGATCAGGACTGTCTATGCTCTGTGGTAGCAGCTAGAGTGGTGTAGTGGTTAAGAGCGGTAGTCTCGTAATCCGGGGAACTGGGTTCGCTTCCCCGCTCCTCCACATGCAGCTGCTGAGTGACCTTGGGCTAGTCACACTTCTTTGAAGTCTCTCAGCCCCACTCACCTCACAGAGTGTTTGTTGTGGGGGAGGAAGGGAAAGGAGAATGTTAGCCGCTTTAAGACTCCTTCGGGTAGTGATAAAGCGGGATATCAAATCCAAACTCTTCTTCTTCTCCTCTCCAGGGTCTCAAAAGGGAGTCTGTTTAAGCCTCACATCAGATTGTACCTGGGGCCTTCCTGTCAATGGTGGTACCATTGAAGTTGACTTGGGGCTGGATCTACTGCCAGGATCCTGATGTCAAGCAAAACATCACGTTCCATAAACAGATGGTTCTGCCACCCACCAGACAATGACATGGCGTGTTTTCTATCTGAATTTGTTTTTATATGGAGGAGCATTCAGACATGGGAATAGCCCAGCACAAATGACCAGCTAACAAGAGAAGGCTACTGATCATCACCATCACCATCACCATCACCACCATCACCATCACCATCACCACCACCACCACCACCACAATCATATGCTACTCATCTGACTGGGTTACCCCAGCCACTCTGGGTGTCTTCCAACAAATTAAAACATAGTAAGACATCAAACATTAAAAACTTCCCTATACAGGGGAGATGTCTTCTAAAAGTCTTCTTGACATCTTGATTGGAGGGTGTTCCACAGGGTAGGCGCCACTACAGAGAAGGCCTTCTTCCTGGTTCCCTGTAACCTCACTTCTCACAGTGAGGAAACTGCCAGAAGGCCTTAGAGCTGGAGCTCAGGGTCCGGTCTGGACAATGGGGGTGGAGATGCTCCTTTAAATATATATATATATACTCACTGACTGGGAAGGTAAAAGCGAGGCTTCTCTGAGGGCTGGCAATCCATCTGCATTGTAAATTATGGGGATAATCCAATTGCATGGCTTCTAGACCTCTCTGCGGAGGTTAACTGGATGGAGGTAAGGCCGGATCATGCAGAGTGGCGTCAGGCAGACTCCTCTGAGAGTGGGTGGATGTGTGTCTTGGAATGCATGCAGGCCATATAAACGGCCAACCAGTCACTTTTTAAACCTTTTGCTGCACTTTAGCCGTTCTCTCGCAGCGCACTGCTGTAGCCCACCTCTGTTTGAGAATTACTGCAATAATCCACAAGCTGCCACTGCTTATCAAATCATTATAAATTGCACGGCTGAGCGTTATTCAACTGGCGAACCATCCACTAGAAGAGAGCATTATTTTCCTGGCCTTCCCGCAGCAGGTTAGCTACGTTTCTGAATAGTTTCCATGGAGATCCAAATGAGTCGAGCTTCCTAAAATCTGAAAAATGAAGAGATCACGACAACACAGCAAATTGCTGTGGTATTGTGCCACCGGCTTGCCTGCTCCCGAGAAGCACAGCTAGATGTCATGGTGGCATGAAGAAAGCGAGCAGAAGTTAAGTTTATTACAAACCCTCTTCCAAACAACTAGAAATTTGTTGTCCAAATCGGTAGCTCTTTTCCCTTAGGGTCAAAATAAAGGATATTTTAAATGTATGCTCACAATTCAGTATCTTGAACTTTTTTTATATATAAATCATTTTGATTAAGTTCCCCATTTTAACAATCCAATCCAATCACATTAAATATTCCAAATTATACAACTACATTTCAATTATTCCAAATATTCTGCCTGAATTATAATTTATTTGTTGGGACTTTCCATGCTTCAATTTGGTGGGGCTCTGATCATCTCATATCTCTGCTGCCTTGGATAGTCTCAATAGTTCCTTTAAATCTTCCTGTTGTTAACCTTTCTTGAACTTTTTTTTAAAGAAAAAGATGCAGACAGTGTTTGTGTGTTTGAGATCTAGACTGGGACAGCTACAAGGGGACAGGTTTACATGTAAGGATACAGAAATGTGTTCATGCATTTTATGCATTGTCGCCTGTAAATTATCCAGATGCGTTGACCAGATACTTTAATTTAGAGGATAGGAATGGGCTGAGAAATTTGGTTCCGTTCACATTTAAATGTGAGCATACCAAAGCTTGCACTTTCCCAAATAAGAACCAAAAGGAAACAGAGCCATTCTAAATAATTCACGCTTCTCTGAATGTTGCCACGCAGTTCTCCAACCAAGTGTTTTGTACATGAAGGCGTATACTAGGGTAAAGTCTGCACATACATGCATAGATTGTTGAAAATAACACACATATTGGGGAAATTGCGGCACAAAAAATGTTTTTTTAGGAGAATTTTGGATTATTATTATTATTAATAATATTTGTCTATACTGAGTGTGGACACCAGTGCTGATGCACAGAGTGACACCCTGAATATGGGTCTTTGTCAGGATGACGGTAAGGCTGAACTCCCTGCAGGCTTGGGCAAAACAGTTGGTGAGTTTCTTGGTAATGGCCGTTTAAATATGGGCCATTCAGGTAACAAAGGAAGGGGCTCTGTGCTAAAGGAAAAATGGAGGATGCTCTCTCCCTCAACTATCTGGTAGTTAAAAAGACAAGAGCAAGACTGGTTGCAGGCAGAAGCCTGTGAGACAGAGCCATGCCTGATTTCTGCAGGAATCCAAGACTGTAGCTCTGAGCAGAGCATGAACTTCTTGGGGTGTTGATGCTGTGACCCCTCCCCCCCCACTGTATCCTCAGATTTCATATGTGAGTGTCAATAAACCATAGATCATAAAGACACCACAGTCTCTGCTGTCCCTCATTCTGAGGAAACAAAACCCCGGGTAAGCTCTCAGAAAGAACCCCTGGAACTGACGGCTGATTCAGGACTTTAAATTGTGCTCTTATATCAAATTTCCTTTTCTGCGTATACTGTAAAGTGGTACCTCAGGTTAAGTACTTAATTTAAAATTTGGCTGTATAATTTGGAACTAATGTGATTTGGATAATGTGATGTGATTGGCCTGTTAATAAAAAATATTTTTTTTTTAAAAAAAAGAATGAACCTCCGGAATGAATTTTGTTGGGGGTACCCATACATCAAGCTCCGCACGAGTCCAAAACTCCGAACGAGTCCAAACATCACTTATATTACTGCTTTAATTAGACAGTTCTATCCAGTTCAATCCAGATAGTCCTTTATTACTTTCTTTCTCTTCTTGTTGTTATCGTATATTCCTTTCTTTGCGATCTCTGATAATTTTCACAAGCAGATTCCGGATGTCCATTCTTAACCTGAAACTGTTCTTAACCTGAAGCACCACTTTAGCTAATGGGACCTCCTGCTGCTGCCGTGCTGCTGGAGCACGATTTCTGTTCTCATCCTGAAGCAAAGTTCTTAACCCAAGGTACTATTTCTGAGTTAGCAGAGTCTGTAACCTGAAGCGTATGTAACCTGAGGTACCACTGTAATGTTTTACTGTTGCTATGGCCATTGGCCATAAAGAAGGCTGAGCGCCGAAGAATTGATGCTTTTGAATTATGGTCTGGAGGAGACTCTTGAGAGTCCCATGGACTGCAAGAAGATCAAACGTACCCATTCTTAAGCAAATCAGCCCTGAGTGCTCACTGGAAGGACAGATCGTGAAGCTGAGGCTCCAATACTTTGGCCACCTCATGAGAAGAGAAGACCCTGATGTTGGGAAAGATTGAGGGCACAAGAAGAAGGGGACGACAGAGGATGAGATGGTTGGACAGTGTTCTCGAAGCTACCAGCATGAGTCTGACCAAACTGTGGGAGGCAGTGGAAGACAGGAGTGCCTGGCGTGCTCTGGTTCATGGGGTTACGAAGAGTCGGACACGACTAAATGACTAAACAACAACAACATGGCCATTGGCTAATGTGAATAAAGTTTTATCTTATCTATCTCAGAACCCCTGGAATCTTGCACCGCTCAGAGGTTGGGGTGGCATGTAACAATATATAAACTAGAAGCTTCCCAGTTCTAACCTCATCCCTATCACAGGCAAGCCACTATTTTTCTCAGGCTGCCATCTGAGGGAATGATAATAGCAGCTTGCTGTAGTAACACATTACAGAAATATTGTTACGACAAGTACTTAGAAAGCGTGGTTTTAGTGCTAAGCATTAGCCTCTAGTTCTAACAACCAACAGTCGTACCAGATTTATGGCAGCTTCAAGTTAATCTAATTTACATAGTTTGCACAGTAAATGTAACTTTCAGCCGTGTTGTTTATTTTTCTTTATTAATTGTTACCAGACCTTATTGCGTTTACATCGATCAAAATAGTTCTGTAACAAAGGCTCTAACGACTTGCAAAATCTATACAACCACATAACAACTTTTGAAAAGAAACCGGCTTTACAATAAATCTTGAGTAGCAAGTTTGGGCCTTATAAGAATGATAGAATAGGAACATCAGCCGAACAGTTGACTGTTTTATGAATCTCACGAAGACATGCTCTACTGTTCTATATTATCCCCATAAAACTGTCCTGATTACGAACGGAATGACGAGAGAAGCAATTCTGTGAAGTTCCACATGTTACAAATATAATAGTGCACAAAAGTATTACTGTTATTATGAGACGGGAAAACCTTTTGCTTAATTTAATACTTTTTTAAACCTTTTCCGAATGCTTTTTCATACCAGGGATGTGAGCTGATGACAACATTTTTAGCGGTGAGTCCATTTACTCCATTTTGGTCCTTTTCCTCCTGTATCTGCTCAGGGAAATGTTTACTCTTGGTTTGCAGCCCAAAGGACTCTTCACGGTGCCAGTCAGCTCCCCCTTATGTCACTCAGGAACAGCGATGGTCAAACCTGTGAGTTTCAGTTTCTTTCAGCTAGTTTTAAGTTCCGCACACGCAATATTTCTGCATCAGCTTGAGGTGTTTTTTTTTTTTTTAAAGCATTATTTTGCCTAATATCTGCATCTTTGCAAGCAATATCCCCATAGAATGCATTTTGGTATGTGAATATCACTAAAATTTACATTTTTATGAACCTTTTGTTTAGTATTTGCATTTTTAAATGCATGATTTGGCATAGCAGTTTGGAGAAGTGGAGGCTGCAGCTTTCAGCGAGATCTCGTGGCACTCCACAAGATCTCATGAGAGCTCTGTGAGGTCACACCAAAAGCCATTGTATAGTGATCCATGTAACTGACTCTGCCCCACCTGGCAGATGACTTTTGCAAGTGGCGGTATGGTTCCTTTAATTCAGAACACACACAGAGCAGCTTTTGCTAGCAGAAAGGCAGCTTTTGCTAGCAAAATGCAAGTAAGCTTTTGCTCAACTTAGAACAGGAGTTTTAGGCAATATGGATTCATCTGTTATTATCATCATTATCTTCTTCTCTTCCCTAGCCAAGGCCCGTTCCAGTTTCAACAGTGCTGTCATTCCCCTTCCCCCATTGATTGATTGCATTCCCACGTGAGAAAAGCTAAACAGTTTGCCCCATAGATCTCTGGTTTGTTTCTTCCACCAAGCCTATGTTTTGCCCTGAGTCCCGGGCACTCAGCTATCCAGCTGCAAATAAAACGTTTTAAATGTGTTGTAAAGTGCAATATACAAAGGTGACACTAGGTGGTGACAGTGAGCTATGCCAAATTCAATGTATTTTTCAAAACTTTTTTTTTAAAAAGCATTTTCACAGCGCTTTTTATATGTGTGTAAATTCCACCCCAGTCTTGCGAGGGCGGGGAAACAGAATTTGTTCTGTTATATGCCATATGTGCTTGGTCTTTGCCATGCAGATGTATACAATAAGTCGAATATCTATTCAGGCCAGACTAACCTGCAATTCAGAAATGCATATGTTAATGAGATTGGTAGGAAAGAGGGCAACAAATAAATAAATAACCCGCCAATGGTTTCAATTTGAGAGGTCTGGGAGAGCAAGCTATTTTTATACTAGGATGCTTTTCATTTGAATCAAAAAATGCTTTACCATCTGCTTTGCCAGAAGTTCAAAAGGACTGGTAACAAACATTTAAGCCCCCCCCCCCCTTTTTAAGCAAAAAGAAAAAGAAAACCCTCTAGGATTGGCAATAAGCCCTCATGAAGAAGCATATGTAGTTGAACAGCTTATCTCTATCGAGCTGTTTCCCTTAATATGTTCCCAATTATGATTCCATATATTTGCTCGTTGTGACCGGCTGAACAATATGGCAGTAATTTCTTAACAGGCCTTGCTGTTCTTTGAACTACGAGTACAGAGGGCCAGAACGGAACCAGATCAGTGAGACAGAGTGCTGGGAAGTAAAGCCAGATGCAGTCCCTGGAGATGCATTTCCAGATGTTCTCCAGAAAGAGACCTGAGCTAACAGCTGGGAACACTCCCCTCCTTCTTCAGGAAATATCCTGAAGGTTTTTTTCATTAAGAGCGCAGCCGTTCTCTTATTGAGGTCCGCACCCCTCTAAGGAGGCTTTCTCAATAGGCACAAAATGTTAGCAAATTTAACAACAAAGCCTTGGTGGGGAAGCGACACCCGAGACGTTGTGGGTTTGGATGGGGTAGGGGTTCTTTTGCACCTGAAGCAACAAGTTTAAAACGATTCCCTACTCTTCTGGAATGGAACTGCCTCCCCAACTGCTGCCTGAAGTGCTGCACAGAGATATATTGTTGTTGTTTACTCGTTTAGTCGTGTCCGACTCTTCGTGACCCCATGGACCAGAGCACGCCAGGCACTCCTGTCTTCCACTGCCTCCCGCAGTTTGGTCAGACTCATGTTTGTAGCTTCGAGAACACTGTCCAACCATCTCATCCTCAGTCGTCCCCTTCTCCTTGTGCCCTCCATCTTTTCCAACATCAGGGTCTTTTCCAGGGAGTCTTCTTTTCTCATGAGGTGGCCAATGGAAGGCAAGAAGATTGCCCCTCTCTTGGAATTTGCTGCCTGGATTTAGTGCTGCTTCACAGAAGTGAGTTGCTACCCGCATTATGTAAGTGCTGAAGTCAACCCCACAAGTTGGTCTTTGTCTATACGATGAATGCTTTACCACAGGAGTTGTCAACATGGTGCGCTCATATACGTAAAAGACCCCTGGACGGTTAAGTCCAGTCAAAGGCGCCTATGGGGCTGCGGCGCTCATCTCGCTTCAGGCCAAGGGAGCCTGCGTTTGTCCACAGACAGCTTTCCAGGTCAGGTGGCCAGCATGACTAAACTGCTTCTGGTGCCACGGGACACCGTGATGGAAACCAGAGCGCACAGAAATGGTGTTTACCTTCTCGCCGCAGCGGTATCTATTTATCTACTTGCACTGGCATGTTTTGGAACTGCTAGGTTGGCAGGAGCTGGGACAGAGCAATGGGAGCTCACTCTGTCACAGGGATTTGAAGCTCCAACCTTCTGATCGGCAAGCCCAAGAGGCTCAGTGGTTTATGTGGGGATGCTTAGGATAATAGGCAAGGAAATATTTGTTAAGTATTATCCTTCCTTCCTTCCTTCCTTCCTTCACTCACTCACTCACTCACTCAGTCACTCACTCTAGTAGATGTAGCAGAGCAAAGCCCCTCTATATTCGCGGAAGCTAGTTGATTAGATTCGTTTGAATCTTTACAAGATGACTAATCCAATCTGACTTGCCCAGATCGATTCCTCCTGGTGTCCCCTTTTCTCCCTCTTGAAATACAATAAAGACTCATGAGTCTGTTTTTAAAAGTATAACAATAAGTTTACTCATAAGTTACTCACAGTACAAATCCTAGAAGGCAGTCTTTAAGCTTCAGGTTAAAACATACAATGTGGCTCGCTTCCTTTGTGAGGATGGGCCTAAGTGCTGCTGGCTGAGAGCCAGAGACTTAATTGAACTGAATCGAACAGAGGACTTCCGGGTTAGCGCCTCCGGCAATGGCGGAATTCCTCTGATTGGGAGGAACCCGCTCCGTGGAAATCAGGGTCTGGCTACCACGGGTAAGGCGGAGACCCACCAAAAACCACAGGCGGGAGAAGCCTGTGGAGGTGGGATTCGGCTGGCACCTTTTGCGCCCCCCCACTCGCGGGGAAACCCAGTTTCGGGGGTCCGGAGCAACGTGGGGTGAGTGGCGCGGTGCTTTGAATCGACTGCTTCTTTCACGGAGTGAAAATTGTTCCTGTGGACAATTGGATTTTAAACAACTACCCGTGAGTAGAAAGGAAAATTGGACCTTTAAACATCTTAATTTGGCACCGAAACGGGAAGGTTTCAAACAGGAAGTCCGCCTTCCTCTTTTGTAAATAGATAGAGCAAAGACGCTGCAAGCTAAAGTCTTGGAGAGCCTTTTGTAAAGGACTAAATTTCCATCAGTTAAAATTATTAAACCCCCCTTGGAAGCAGGAGAAGAGGGGGGAAATTTTAGATTGCCTAAGCCTGCAGGAGAGAGAGTGAAGAAAGACAAATTGCCACCGTTTTAAACCTGGGAACGGGCTGTCAGTAAGTTTGACGTTTTGGGAAAGTCCATTGACTGTGAATAAAACGTATGTTGACAGATAGTTAAATAAGAGAAATAAATTGTTTCCATTGTTTCCTTTTGCACTTAAAAAGGAGCAAAAGTAACTGAAAGATTGAAACTAACTTTGTTGCTGGATCTGCGTTTAAAAGGACGGATACAAATAGAAATTGTTTCCTCTAGAGGGAGCTTTTGAAACTGTTGCAGGAGTGGAGCTGGGGAATTTTCCAGCTGCAGAGATAAAAGACCGTGAGAATCAGAGATTGACCTTGGACAAGAATGTTGACAGAAGAAGCCTTAGTGATTGTATTTTGCAAGATAAGTGTTTTATTGGAACAGCTTCATGAGAAGATGGATGTGATGACTATTAAAATTGATAATTTGGGACAAAAAATGACTGATTTGGGACAAGAAGTGAATATCTATACAGAAACTACTCAGGAATCGATCCAGGAATCTACTTCGACATGGCAAGTTGTGGAGACGAGGGAGAAAGTTATTGTAGAACCTCAAGTAATACAAGTGGAGAGAGCCTCAGTCTTACAGAGACAATTTGATGAATATAAGCTGTTGCCTTCTATGTCTGAATTTAGAGAAAACCAGTTGAAACACGTCCTGAAATATCTTTTGGACTTTAGTTTTGACTATGGAGAATGGGCTGACCAGTCGAGAAGGAATAAAGACATTGTTAGGTTGGAGCTTCCCCGAGATCTACTCCTCAATGTTAAAGGAAGGAAATTAAGAATAAGATCAGCAGAAGATAAAGTAAAGTGTATGTATAAATATGAAGAAGATCTGCAGAAGGGACATGGAAAAGAGTTAAGAGCCTCGGACAGAAGATCACCAGGTTGATGGACCATATGGATTGATAGAAAGGACTGGCAGAATCCGAGACCAGGGAGAAGAGACGGTGGAAGAAGATTGGAAAAAAGTTTTAAAAATTTATTTATAGAAACATTGTAAAATTAATGAGTGTTAGAAAAATGTTGGAATGAAATTACACGGCTTTAGTAGAAATGTTATAAGGAGTTAAGTACAAATAAGTTTTAGGGTATTAATGGTAAGATAAGGTTAAAATAAATTATGATAATTATATGATAGAAAATAGTGAAAGATGGAAAGGATTTGCTGAAACAATTAATAACTAGAACACAAAAAAGGGAGGTGCAAGGAGGTCGATGAAACAAGTTAATGAAAGACAAAGATATGGAAATATTGGATGTGTTTTTAATTGTTTTTGCTTTTGCTTTTGATTTGATGTATTATGTCTTTTGTTTTTTGTTTTTTTAATGTATAGTATTGATTTGCATTGTTTACTTTTTCTTTCTTTTTTTTTCTTTCTGCAATCTTTAAACCTTTAATAAATATTATTTTTTTAAAAAATATGAATCGAACAGAGTTGAAATCGAACAGAAGAGAAAATGGCTGTGTGACTCTGCCTTTTACAGAGTCACACTCATCTGCGGAGTCATTTACAAGAGGAACCGGAAGTTACATATCCCCCTGTCTCTGTCCACTCTAGGAATTAAAGCAAGTTGTAATTGACTGTACTGATGTAACACATCCCACAGTTTAGATCAGGCATAGGCAAACTTGGCCCTCCAGATGTTTTGGGACTACAACTCCCATCATCCCTAGCTAACAGGACCCATGGTGAGGGGTGAGGGGAGTTGTAGTCCCAAAACATCTGGAGGGCCGAGTTGGCCTATACCTGGTTTAGATCACAGCGCCACCTGCGCTCATACATCACTAGGCCACTAGTACCTTTTATGGGGGCCTGAAAAAGACATCCAAGAGGCCCTGGCTGTTCAGGCACCCACAATTTTTTTGCTTTGGGTGCCCAGTCTCCACCTCTGCCGCCACCATCTACCACCACTTGCTTCTGGGGTGCATCCGCAGTGGGGATGCAGGCCCTGGCCCAGTTGCTGTCATGGCTCCAGAGTGCGGAAATGCACCTCGCTGTCATGACATGTCATGATGTCATGACGTCACATTGACGTCACATTGACGTCAAATTGTGCTGATGTCATGATGGCATGGCATGTGCACACTGGGCACCCTACTATGGACAATCGCCCCCCAAAAGATCAGCAACTGGGTCCGGATTTTTACTTCTAGGCAATCCTAGATTTGTACTCCTCCAACTAAGAATTGATCCTTTTGAATTATGGTGCTGGAGGAGACTCTTGAGAGTCTCATGGACTGCAAGAAGATCAAACCTATCCATTCTGAAGGAAATCAGCCCTGAGTGCTCACTGGAAGGACAGATCCTGAAGCTGAGGCTCCAAGACTTTGGCCACCTCACGAGAAGAGAAGACTCCCTGGAAAAGACCCTGATGTTGGGAAAGATGGAGGGCACTAGGAGCAGGGGACGACAGAGGACGAGATGGTTGGATAGTGTTCATGAAGCTACCAGCATGAGTTTGACCAAACTGTGGGAGGCAGTGGAAGACAGGAGTGCCTGGCTTGCTCTGGTCCATGGGGTCACGAAGAGTCAGACACGACTAAACAGCAACAACAAACTAATGTGTGGGTCAAATCCTATCTACGCCACAAGATTCTGCTTTTATCTCAATTTTATGATATTTACACCTCTCAGCAGTTTCGGTGCATCAAAATATGTCTCGAAGTAATACTTTGATAGAGAAAAATAGCATTTGAAAATACATATTTTGAGAGGACTGCTTTTTTAAAAAATAAATAGACAAATTGCAGGCGGATGTGGAAATGGAACAGAGCAAAACGTGTGAAAGTGCCACAGACAGGAAATGGACATATTTGTCCATTCTAATTACAATGAAACGAATGACTGTTAATGATGGGTAAAAGGCAGTTACTACCATTTGATCATAAGCAGAAAATTATTTTGTAGCATCAGCAATGGAGTTTCCCCTGCCACATTAAATTTGTAAGTGAGTAGCTAGAGTTTGCAAATGAGGTGACCTGGGGTGAAATAGTGGAACCGCATGGGATATTTTTTCTAGCCCCCATCATTTATGCCAAATTGCCTCAGTTTTATTACTATACAAGTCCGGAGGGGGCCGCAGTTGACAGGCAATGATTTATGGTCAAATAGATAGTGTTGGGTATCAGACATGGCACTGTGGGTGAGACTTAACACCATTCGAACAAGACTGTGGTTGTGGTGTCTGGCCAGTGGCTGAAGTGAAAATTCAGAGTGACAACAACATCTCGCCAAGAGATGGTATTGTCTCATGGACATTCTTTTTTTATTTCAAAGGTCAAAACACTCCAGAGTCAGCCAAATCTACTCCATCAGATCCACAAGAAAGAATTAGAGCTATGTTGACTTTTTAAAGGCCTTCTTTGTACAGAATCAGACTTTGAAAGTAAGGTTTGTGTTTCAAGAGGTGGAAAAAATGGGTAAATGGACAAATCTTGTACCTCAGTAGTGTGTGCCGGTGTTTTAAATGGGGTGAGGGGAATTCCTCATGCCATATATCTGATAATGGTACCAAGTCGGAGAAGCTCCACTTTTCAGAACTATACAATAGACTGCACTAGGAAGCTCATGTAACACTGAATGGAATGGAAAGTGACTGGGCTCCAGCAGACCCTCCAAGTCTCCCTATTTTCCTGGAAAAGTCCTGGATTTACAGAAGCTGTCTCAGTTTCTTATGTGATCTCGGAATGTCCTGCTTTTTCCTAGGACGTCCCTATTCCCATCGAAGAAATATTGCAGTTATGCGACCCACAAGGCAAAGAGATAAGTAACTATACCACCCTTAGAAGACATATAAGCATCTGGCCTGGTACAAGCTAGTCAGAACCCTCTGGTATGCAATGACCTTACATTTACTGTGTGGGCCCTTTAAGCAGAATTAAGTCCAGAAGCAAAACAAGAACTTTAGTACAGTCCGTCCAAGTGTCCCTATTGTCAAGCAACAGTCCCAGGTTTACAGAAGCCGTCTGGGTTTCTGATTTGATCCCAGAATGCTCTGCTTTTACTTAGGGCACCCCTATTTTCATTGGCGAAATGTTGGAGGGTATGGAGGATGTCCCTGTTTTCACTGGAGAAATGTTAGTGGATATGGAGTTATACGACGCCCGAGCCAAGGAGATAAATAACTTCACCACCTTTAGAAGACATCTGAAGGCAGCCCTGTGTAGGGTTTTTTTTTAAAAAAAAAGCAGTGTGAAATGTTTCGGTATGTTTTTATAAATGTTGGAAGCTGTCCAGAGTGGCTGGGGCAACCCAGCCAGATGAGTGGGGAATAATGATGATGATGATGATGATGATACTGATGGAATAGGACGTCCCTATTTTCATTGGAGAAATGTTGGAGGATATAGCTCCAGTGCTGACCTGCGAAGAATGGACAATGACTTCCTAGAGGTTTTCGTTTCTCAGACGTTGTGCATGCAGACTCCTTGAGCTGAGTTTGGGGGAGACCTTTAAGCCCACCCTCTTAGTTAACTGAGAAACATAAACCCTTCCTCCACTCGAAACCCAGAGAGCATCCTCATAAGAAAAAGCTCTTGGTTTTTTGTGTGAATGGCCTAGCAAGTGTTCTCGGCCCCTTGCACTGGCTTTTCAGAGGAACATTGATACAAGAATGAGATGGCTTTTTAAGAAAACAAGCCATGAAATTTCAACACAGGGAAAATGCCTGATGGTTGTTGTGGTCTGGAGGTCCTAACACACAGGGCAGCTGCATGGTAAATCCAGGGCATTACAGCTATTATGATTTCCCTGGTAACTATTTCAAGCCATGGCTGGTCTTAAGGTAAAGGTAAAAGGACCCCTGACCATTAGGTCCAGTCGTGACCAACTCTGGGGTTGTGGCGCTCATCTCGCTTTATTGGCCGAGGGAGCCAGCATACAGCTTCCAGGTCATGTGGCCAGCAGGACTAAGCTGCTTCTGGTGAACCAGAGCAGCGCACGGAAACACCGTTTACCTTCCAGCCGGAGCGGTACCTATTTATCTACTTGCACTTTGACATGCTTTCAAACTGCTAGGTTGGCAGGAACAGGGACTGAGCAATGGGAGCTCACCCCATCGCGGGGATTCGAACCGCCAACCTTCTGATCGGCAAGTCCTAGGCTCTGTGGTTTAACCCACAGCGCCACCCGCGTCCCAATGGCTGGTCTTACCATGCAGCAAACCATTAATTTAACATATTTGTGTATCGCTTTTTTTAGGCTGATCTCACAGAACGTTGCACATGAATTTAACACGATGAGAAGCACCATTGTCATTTTATTTTTTCACAACAACAACAGTGCCGACAACGGTTTTGATGAGGCGGTCTCTTGCTTCTACTCTCCTCTCCTCGGGGCAAGAGGATTCACCAGAAGCCCATGTAGTGGCGGTTGAGGGAAGGAGAAGCCAGCACTGGGCACTAGATGGTGACAGCTCACCAAACTGCTTCTGCAGTTGGATTCAAAGCTGGATGGGGTATACAGAAACCGGAACGCAATGACATCACGTTTCGCTTTATAGAATGCTACCGGGAGTAGGGAGGAGAGGAGGAAACGTGAAGTTGCTACTTTTGGCTACAGTTCCATCGCTCCCGTAATGTCTCGTCCCGCCCTTACTCTCCGTAAATAACCTCTTTCTAGTGTTTCTTCCCACACTCCACAGATCGCTCCAGAGGGTTGCATGCTCCCAAATGCCCACACCATACCTAGGAATCTGTAGGACAATTGCACAGTAATCCCAGCAGGGATATGGTGCCTTTCCAGTGATGGGGAGAGAGGAGGTATATCACCCCCCCTTGCCTAACAGTGTTAGGATGTACGTTTCTTTCTCTCCCCCCGCCAATCCCGCTCTGTTTCGGTTCCACAATGTTCCATTCTGTACCTCATAAGCACTTAATTTATTCCCACTCCTTGGCCTGACCTGTAATCCCCCCTCTCCTCACGCATCTGACCCATCTGTGTTTCATTTCCCGCTCATCAATGGCCAAAGAGCTAGGCCTAGGCCCTGTTTGGAACCATTCGACAGGGCTTGGCAGCGTTCCCTCTTCCTGCACCACATCCTCCCCAGAAAAATATGACCATCAGATCGGAGAACAGAGTCTGCTTTGTCCCCCGGCAACCAAGATCTGGAAGTGCTTTCAATGATTTGCACTCTATACCCACTCAAATGCATTAATGTGATCAACATTGGGCTTGTTGTGGGCATTTTCCCTCTCTCTCTCTCTCTCTCTCTCTCTCTCTCTCTCTCTCTCCAGCAAATAGCTTGCTAACATTCCAGGCATGTACTTCCCTGAAAACAAGACCGAGACGGGGCCCTGAATATTCAATTGGAAAATCACCAAGAGCGAGAGCTTAGCTTGGCACGGCTGGTGTTGATTCTTAATAAGTGACTTCCTAAAAGCTGAGGCATGGGGCTTACGGCTTCAATGACTTGTTTGAAAAATATTTTGTAGGTGCCTCATACCACTTTATTTCCTGTGGTATGCGTCATATTGTGAGTTATTCCGAGCCGGGCTGTTTAAGAGTGCTCGCATTTTTTTCCGAGGTTGCGGGGTTTTTAACAAAAAAATGTGCTTATACGAGATGAGCTCATAGCTATTAGTGCTGATGTAGACTTAACTACTTGGAGACCAGAAACCTCTGAGCTCTAATACCTGCTGGAGTGCTCGGGAAGGGGGGGGGGGGCGAAGGAAGGAAACCTGAGTACCCAAGTGGAGGGTGGGGGGGGGTCTGAAAAGAGTTTAAAATGCTTTTCAAAGAGACAGTAGCACTCCGTTTATATGAGGAGAGAGATTCTGGAACAGTCTACACCCTGTCGTGTATACGATCAACAGCAATTCAACACAAAACCTTTCATTCTCATTAGAAAAGATCACTTTTTGAGGGATTGCCCAATTAAAGGGGCCTGAGCTGCTCAAACACGAGGCTCTTCAGCATAACTGTACCCAAGGAAAGCCATTTCATCCAGGAGAGCTGGGCACGCTAGTTAGGGTTGCCATTTTCCTGGACATACCTGGAATACTGTGGTCAAAAGCAGTGCCCGGGTGGAAATTGGCGAGATGTCTGGGGAAATCTGGATGTGTGGCAAGCCATGTCGGCAGTGCCGTTTTGCCGGTTTTCATAAATAACCGTTCAGATTTGCTCAAAAACAGCATTTTTTTGCGGTTTTGCAAATAAAGCTCAACAACTTTGGCAAAAAGAAAAGAAAACAAAATAAAACAAAACAGAAAAGCTCAACAAGTTTTGTGTCTGGGTTTTCACTTTTTGAAATATGGCAACCCTACACTAGGTACATCCTTATGTTTATTCATTTATTTGGGCCTTTCATCAACCCTCACCACCATGATAAGGCAAGATTGGCTGTGTTGAAGGGAGGTCCAACTGGCACTTGTTATCAGCAAGCAGGACTGAGCCCTAGCTGGCTCATTCAGCCAATCCCATAGCATGATGGTTTTGTGATGTCAACTGGAGAGGTTCATTCAGCCATTGTCTCCTTGGCTTGGTCCCCTTTCTCCCTAATCTCAAAGAAGCTGGATTGTATTATGTGGATGATACTTGAAAACCTGAGTGGCAGGATTTGTGCCATTTTTCTTCGGTGGAAGAAGATTGGAAAAAGTTTAAAGACTACTTACAGAAATACTGTAAAATTAACGAATGTTAGAAAAATGTTGGAATGAAGTTATATGGCTTTAGTAGAAATGTTATAAGGAATTAGGTATAGATAGATTAATAGGGTATTAAAGGGAAAAATAAGGTTAGAATGTGTTAAGATAATTATAGGATAGAAAATAGAGGAAGATGGAGAGGAATTGCTGAAACAATTAATAGAAGTGGAAGACAAAAAGGGAGGCGTGAGGAGGTCGTGGAAACATGTGAATGAAAGATAAGATATTGAAATTGGATTGTGTTTTGAATGGTTTTTGTTTTGTTTTGTTAATTGTTTGTGTTAGTGTTGTGTAGTGTTTTTTGTACGGTATTGTATTGTTGTATTGTTTTTCTTTGGTTTTTTTGTAGTGTTGTGTTTAAATTGTTGAAAATTAATAAATATTATTTTTTTTTAAAAAAAAGTATTTGTGCCATTTTTTGTTTAGCAGGCTGGTAAAAATGATGATGTATTAACCCTTGGAGGGCAAACTCATCCCTGTATTTTTGGCCAAGGAGCTCACCTTACTGTTACAAGGTTGGTTTTAGAACACCTAGGACTTAGCTACGCCAGTCAAAAAACAGTGCTTCAAATGTGTTATAAACATGCAACACCAAACGGTGCTGGAGAGCAAATAAAATAAAATAAAACAATAAATAAATAAATAAAAATAAAATAAAATATTTGGGATTTTCCATAGCAGTTTTTTTTTTCTTTTGTTGTAACCGGTGCTTTTCTTCTAGATAAAGGATGCTGGTACTGCGTACCCTTGAATACCCCCAGAAAAAAAGCACTGGTTATAACGATTTTATTTTTGACTTATTTACAGCGTTTTCTTCCTGTGTGTAGATCCACTCTTAAGACAGAAAGGATGGGTGGTCCTGTTGGGGGGTCTCTTATATGTTTTATAGTCCTTGTGAAAATAATCTGCCCGGATTGTCTTGCTCTGGCCAAGGATAGCATGTCAGGTTTAAACCTGCTTCCAAACCATGGCTTTTGATATAAAATGGCTTTTCCACACATTGTACAGCAGCAAAGTCAGGTTTGCTACTCTGGGCATGCTAGACCATGAGTCATAGGGCACACATTTTCAAGGTGTATTATTCAACATCCACAAGCTGGGCCTTACAGACCCTCCAAATATCCCTATTTTTCAGGCACAGTCCCGGATTTACAGAAGCCATCCCAGTTTCTGATCTGATCCCAGAATGTCCCACTTTCCCTTAGGACAACCCTATTTTCATCAGAGAAATGTCAGAAGGTATGGAGGATGTTCCTATTTTCATTGGAGAAATGTTGGAGGTTCTGGAGTTAAGTAACTATACAACCTTTAGAAGACATCTGAAGGCAGCTCTGTAGGGGGAAGCATTTTAAATGTGTAATGTTTTGTTATTTTTTATATGTGTTGGAAGCCACCCAGAGTGGCTAGGGCAACCCAGTCAGATGGGTGGGGTATAAATAATGAAATTGTTGTTGTTGTTGTTAAATAGGACATTTCTATTTTCATTGGAGATATGTTGGTGAATAGGGCCTTAATCTCTGAATGTTCATATGCACTTATTATCTTAGATGCACACAATAGGGGGTCCAGGTTTTGGGGCACAACACCATCTCTGTGTGGGCCCCAATCCCTCAGTGAAGAAGAAGAAGAAGAGTTTGGATTTGATATCCCACTTTATCACTACCTGAAGGAGTCTCAAAGCGGCTAATATTCTCCTTTCCCTTCCCCCCCCCACAACAAACACTCTGTGAGGTGAGTGGGGCTGAGAGACTTCAAAGAAGTGTGACTGGCCCAAGGTCACCCAGCAGCTGCATGTGGAGGAGCAGAGACGCGAACCCGGTTCCCCAGATTACGAGACTACTGCTCTTAACTACTACACCACACTGGCTCTCACTGGGTTCACCACTGCCTCCCTGCTATTGTCACCAAGTGACAGAGAACAAGACTTCAAGCAAGCAGATAGCAGTCGCTCCTGATGCTTCTCCTCTCCAATGCCACTGCTGTAGCCTGGTCTAGGGCTGCCATGTTTCGAAGAGCAAGGAAGAGCACACATTTGCCAACTCCTACTTTTAACTATGGATCGCTATGACGACTCTACCCATGAAAAATAGGACATGTCCCACAAAAAGGGAGCTAGGGGAACCCTCTGAAATATCTAGTAGGGAAATAGATTGGATGGATGGAATATGGAAGAGCAGAGTAGATAAAAAAAGCAGAGAGGAACCAAAGGGAAAAGGGGTGAATTGACAAAGGTGCAGACAGAAAGGTTGACAGATTTTTCCATAAAGGATTTTGCCAGCCTAAAAAAGTTGGGGTTGAAGAATCGGACCTTTGAAAATTCCTATACAAAATTATTTGATTTGTACGCCTCCAACTAATGTGTGGGTCAAATCTGATCTATGCTACCCAATTCTGCTCTTCCATCAATGTTATGGACCTACTACACACCTCTCAGCAGTTTTAATGCATCAAAATATGTCTCGAAGTGATATTTTGATAGAGAAAAATAGCATTTAAAAATACATATTAGGTTGGAACTCTCGAATTCTGTGCATAAATCCGTTTAAAATTAATTCCTCCTCCATGCCCAAACTGAAGTTTTCACCTTGTTATGATTAAGACATTTTAATGTGCCCCATTCACCTTTGTCTTCAGGTGAAGACTTAGTCCTGAATGGTTCATTTGGCTCACCTGCTTGCTCTCTTACACCATCCAGCCTGTATTTCCACGCAACTCTCTTTCTTGGGGAACCACATACAAAAATCTCAGGAAACAGTGAGCTTAATTGGGACCCTGGTTAATAGTTTCACCTGAAAAAATATGTTTCTTAAAAAATCATATATGGCTTCACTGTGCAGATTTTCTTGTCAGTAAACTCTTAGCAATGAATTGCATTAATGGCACTCCTCTTAAATGTTGAAAGCAAATGAGAAGCCAAACTAAATAACCCATAAATATCCAATACAAGGACCCACTCTGCATTTCTGACAAGCATTGCTCAAGCATGCATTATTTCCCATTAAGAAAAATATCTCTTTTTTTATTTGCAACACTAAAGTAGGAGAATGCGATCTCATTGCAACTTATCATTTAGCAGACACCAATATTCTTATTATTGCAGTGGCGTAGCGTGGGTTGTCAGCACCCGGGGCAAGGCAAGTAATTTACGCCCCCTAACCTATGGATTTTAGCACTCGAGTCTCTTTCACTAGATTAGGGTGCAAGTGCACCCCCCCAGATGTTGCGCCTGGTGCGGCCGGCCCCCCCTGCACCCCCCACGCTACGCCACTGTATTATTGTAAAACTAGACCTACTATATGCTGCTAAATGCATGGTGGTGGCCTGGCTACTGCATGACACCACTGTTTTTGCAGTTCAAGGCAGAAAAACAGATTTATGGTGGCCACTCCATATTTGGCTTGGTGGGTTACGGGTTGTGAAAACCCATTTCAAACCATCGTCACTAAATCTTACCCACTCATCACAAACATGGGTATTCTTTTTTTCCCCCCAGTAGAAAACATCTAAATCTGGTGCTCTTTGACATAAGATGCTGTTTTTATCAGGATATGTCAAAAACAGTAGTTCGTATTAGAAAGTTTAATAATACTAATACTAATATAGTCATACCTCGGAAGTCAAACAGAATCCATTCTGGAAGTCCGTTCGACTTCCAAAATGTTCGAATTCCAAAGCACGGCTTCTGATTGGCTGCAGGAAACTCCTTCAGCCAATTGCCAGCTGTGGAAACCCTGTTGGACATTTGGCTTCCGAAAGAACGTTCAAAAACCAGAACAGTCACTTCCAGGTATCAATTGTTCGGGAGCCAGAACGTTCAACTCCCAGGGTGTTCAGGAGCCAAGGTACGACTGTACTAATAATATTTACATCCGGCTTCCAGCACATATAAAAACATAATAAACCAAGAAACATTAAAAACTTCATGATACAGGGCTACCTTCAGATGTCTTCTAAAAGTTGTGTAGTTATTTATCTCCTTGACATCTGAAGGGAGGGTGTTCCACAGGGAGGACACCACTGCCGAGAAGGCCCTCTGCCTGGTTCCCTGTAACCTCACTTCTTGCAGTGAGGGAACCGCCAGAAGACCCTCAGAGGTGGACGCCAGTGTTTAATACACTACATTTACAACTCTACATTTAAAAATCCATGTTTAAAACTCTTAAAGAACAACCTGCGTTTAGAAGTTGAACTCTTAAAAAAAGCCACCCTCATGTGAACAAGTGTTTGATATATGCTTGCTACTAAATTTAATGGGGTAGCCAATTTGGTTTCCAAAGACATGGACTTTGGAGAGAGCCAATGTGGTGCTTTCCGGTCACACAGTTCTCATTGTTCTTAACTATTGGCCATCCTGGCTGAGGCTCTCCATAATTTCAGACACAGGACACTTCCCAGCCTTACCTAGAGATGACAGGGATCACACAGGTCAATTAAACCTACCTGGAGCCCTGCACTTTCCATGCATGTAGGGTTCCACAGAGACCATGGTTCTCCTGAAATGAAATGTTATTCCATCTTCCTTTCCTCCTTTCCATGCAGCTCACTGGATGCCATATTTATTTTCTTTACAACGGGTGCTGATGGTCTTTATTTCCCAATCCTTCATCATTGCCATGAAATTATTTTCCCTTCTGGCTTTTAAAACACAAAGTTCACCTTGCGATTTCTGTGGTCTTGAGGGTTGGCAAATATTCCTGACGAATATTTGAAAAACATCAAGCAAGAGGCTGCAGATGTCAGCATCTTCTAAAAAAAAAAAAAAAGGTGGGGGGAAATAGTCCAGTCATGGAAAATATGCAGAAATTAAAAGAGGTCTAAAATCCACTGGCTGGACTATGACATGCAGGGAGTGCATAAAGGGTTATGTAAGAAAACATTTCTAAAGTTGTTTAAATGTTTATTTTTTTAAAAGGAAAAAACCCTCAGAATAAATCTGCAATGCACATAAATGTATGCATCAATTGGATAAACGTCATGACAGATGTGTTTATGAGGAAGAATGAAAAAAGACAAAGAAAATACAGTGGTCTTGGTTCTCAAACGACTTAGTCCCCAAACACCAAAAACCCGGAAGTAAGTGTTCCGGTTTTCAAACGTTTTTCGGAAGTTGAACGTCCAATGTGGCTGTCGCCTATTGTTTCTGGGGCGCCTGCACCAATCAGAAACTGGGCCTTGGTTTTCAAACATTTTGGAAGTCAAACGTACTTCTGGAACGGATTACGTTTGAGAACCAAGGTATCACTGTATTTGGTGCTTTTGGTTTTGCTATTTATTTTGTGTTTTTGTTTTTGAGGCTTTTTCGGTTAATTTGTTTTTGTGACTGTGTGGAACCCAGTTCAGCTGATTGATTGATTGTGTGACTGGAGAAATGGATAAAAGTCCCCCCTCCAAACAATGACTATCATCAGAGCAAGTAAGAAAATAATAATAATAATAATTTTCATCATCTACAATACTGTCTTTTTTATTTTATAGTACAGTACATTGATTATTAGGGACGCAGGTGGCGCTGTGGGTAAAACCTCAGTGCCTAGGACTTGCCGATCTCATGGTTGGTGGTTCGAATCCCAGCGGCGGGGTGCGCTTCCGTTGCTCGGTCCCAGCGCCTGCCAACCTAGCAGTTCGACAGCACCCTCGGGTGCAAGTAGATAAATAGGGACCGCTTACTAGCGGGAAGGTAAACGGCGTTTCCGTGTGCGGCTCTGGCTCTCCAGAGCAGCTTCGTCACGCTGGCCACGTGACCCGGAAGTGTCTGCGGACAGCGCTGGCTCCCTGCCTATAGAGTGAGATGAGCGCACAACCCTAGAGTCTGTCAAGACTGGCCCATACGGGCAGGGGTACCTTTACCTTTACATTTTATGGATCAATGGTCTCGTTAGAGAGTAAAATTCATGTTAAATGGCTGTTTTAGGGGTTGTTTTTAAAAGTCTGGAATGGATTAATCCCTTTTGCATGACTTTCTATGGGAAAGCATGCCTTGGTTTTGGAACGCTTTGGTTTTGGAACGGACTTTTGGAACGGATTAAGTTTGAGAACCAAGGTACCACTGTATTCATAGAATCACAGAATTGCAGAGTTGGAAGGAACGCCTAGGGTCATCTGGTACAACTCTCTGCAATGCAGGGATCGCAACGAAAGCATCCTTGACAGAAGACCATCCACATCACTTGTGCAAGTTGTATCATTGTGCAGGCTGCGTGTGTATCATGTGCAGGTCGTGTGGCCCTGGCCCCCTCAATTGTGGGGGCAAGCTGGTGCGCCTGCGTTGCAGTGCATGCTTGGTTGTGATGTGTCTTTCTCCAGTTTGCAAACACACCACCTCGGGCCTAGCGATATTAGGGGCCTCCTGCTTTAGCAAGTTTGGCCAATGTTTCAGCCTGCAGATATTGCTGGACTAAAACTTCCCCCATCCCCCTGACCACTGGCTGTGTGGCCTGCGACTGATGGGATCCAAGAAGGTTGAAAAGTCTCCATGACGGATAGACCTCATATACAGGGGCAGAGCATGAGCTTTCCAATGTCCCCAGTCCGATCCCTGTCACCTCCCAGTATATCATTCTGGGATGATATATAATGAACTGAAAAAAAGGTTGAAAATAACTTGTGTTAAAAAAAACAAGAAGCTTTTTTATTAGGAATTTAAGGTACTGACATTCCAAAGGAATAGAAAATACTCTTTATGTATGCGACAACAGCCGCATGGATACTGCTAGCCCAGAGATGGAAAGAAGAAAGAGTCCCTACCGGATAGGAATGGCAAACTAAGCTGATGGACTCTGCTGAAATGGCAAAGTTGCCTGGAAAGCTCAGGAGCCAAGAGGACGAAAACTTCAAGAAAGAATGGGGGGAAATTATAATTGACTTAGGAGACCACTGTAAGCAGATAAAAACATTAGCAGGACTTGTAACGTAACAGGTAATATGGACAATATGGATGAATATAAAATATACCGTACTTTTCCGTGTATAAGACTAGGTGTTTTTTTACTGAAATATTATGTTTAAAATCTTTGGGCAATCTCCCCCCAAAATAGAGGGTGTATTATACATGGGGGCATGTTATACATGGAAAAGTATAAGACTAGGTGTTTTTTTTACTGAAATATTATGTTTAAAATCTTTGGGCAATCTCCCCCCAAAATAGAGGGTGTATTATACATGGGGGCGTGTTATACATGGAAAAGTATGGTAGATTATGAAATAAGATGTAGCGGAAAATGTTCACATTAGGACCCATGGAAGGTGAAGTTGCGAGATTCAGAGAAATCTCTTCATGTGGATATGTACTGTGTATTATTATAAACTCATTTTTGTAAAATCTAATAAAAATGTTTTTTTTAAAAGGGATCTTAGCAGTGCTGTTTTTCTAGAAAAAGAGGTGTCAGAGAGAGGTGTCAACCTCTCTCATTCTCTTAGAATGGCAATAGCGCCACAACGCACCTGACAGGTGCTGGAACTCAGTTCCGGTGAGTTCCGGCTGAAAATAACGCCCGGATCTTAGTGAGGGGGACATCGAAAACTAATGCCAGTCAAATAAGTGCTGATTAGTTCATTGCTCCAATGTCTGGCCCAGTGCGAAGCAGAGTCAGATGTCGTTCAAACGAAAGAGAAACACTCTGGCTGTAATGTATAGCCCATTATGAAATGGTTCTCATCTGCTTTTTATCTCACATTAACCAACGCAGGTGACAGATTCCAGACGAAAAGCCATTCTGAATGCATTAGTTGGAAGCCGAGTCAGTGCACTGCACCCCCCCCAAGAGGTCTATGCACTTGTTAAAATATTAAGAAAGACACACTTGTTAAAAAAAGGGGGCTGTTCTTTCACGAGCCCCCTTAAGGAATATGAAAACGCCACCCTCCTATGGACTCGGGTTAACACTGTTGCATTGAGAGCCGACGTTGCTCAGTTCATTTAGAAATGGCAATAAACGTTTTTACTATGGGAATCTGGTGAAGGAATTAGTTCATAAATAGGAAATATTTGACTGTACATTGCCAATCAAGTGATGTTTACACGCTTTAGTAAGATTTTTCAAAGATTCAATATCCTTCAGCTGCGGCTCAGAGTAAACAGTTTGTGAAACATGCCATTTAAAAAAATTAAAAAAATAAGAGGAAAATTGTATGATTAAGGAATTATTTGTTTGTGGAAATTATGTTCTCACTCTCAAGGGATCCTAATGCTGACTTTTTAGTTGTTGCACTGTTCATTTGAAAGAAAAGCCTTAATATATGAAGATGTTTTTTGTCGTTGTTTGTTTCTTGGAACCAGCAGGCTTATGCTGCTGATTTCCCTGCCTGTCAGAAGACTTTTATTTTATTTTTAAAAATTTATAATCTATTCTCCTTCCCATAGGAGCACCGGGGGGGGGGGGTAGCAAACACACACACAAAAATAAAGCAATGCAGTTAAAAAATAAACACATATTTTAAACATTTGAACACAATTAAAAAACCCTATCTAAAATACTCATAGTGGAAACCAAAAGCTTTTCATTTGAAAAGTTTAGTGGAGTTGAGACAGCATGATCAGAACATGAGAAGATATGTCCTGTATCATGTCAATGGCCTATGTAATCGAGCATCTTTTCCCACATGGCCAACCAGATGCCCAGGGGAAGACCACAAGCAGCGCATGAGAGCAATAGCCCTCTTGTGTTGTTGTTCCTCAGCCCTTGGTATTCAGAGATATGGTACCTCTGATGCTGTAGGTAGCATGAAGCCATCATGATTAGAAGCCACTGGCAGCCTTCTGCTACATGAATTTGTTCAGCCCTCTTTTAAAGTCTTCTATAAGAATATAGAAGAATATATACCTGGACCTTTTGCTGGTTGAAAAGCTTCTTACCTTCAATTCCAGTACCCAGTGGTGGGCTGTATATAAGGAGCACTCGGGAACAAAAACACACTCTTACCAACTTTTAGAGCTGCTAGATGCTCATCATCATGAAAAGCATGGTTGTAATAATTGCAAGGGAACAGCATTAGCTTTTTTTGCTGATGCATCTTGCTGTTGACTCAGGTTCAGCATGTGGTCCACCAAGACCCCTAGATCCTTTTCACATGTCTTCTTCTTCTTTGGCGATCACTCGTAGCCGAGTAAGATAGTCTTCCACAAACACGGTTTTAACAATGAGTCCGTAAGTGACTGTGGAGGCCAATTCTGGATCCACATGTCCTTCCACAGTGGGGACATTGGTTTCCTGGCGGGAGTTGATCATGGTGTGGATTTGCCAAGCGTGCCTTCCTCAGACCACGTTTCTCCCTTGTGTCCTGAGTTCAAGTGTCTTCAAAACCCATGACACCTTTGGTAAAGGCTGTTCTCCAACTGGAGTGCTTGCAGGCCAGTGTTTCCCAGTTTTCAGTGTTTATATTACATTTTTTAAGATTTGCCTTGAGACAGTCTTTAAACCGCTTTTGTTGAACACCAGTATTATGCTTTCCATTTTATCTATGCATCTGTGCTGAAGTTGTAAGCTTACTGTATTCACTATATAAGAGGGTCTCTGAGGAACCTCTCATGCTCAACTGATCACAGCGCATAGTCCAGTCCTAGCCAATGAGTTGTTGTTGTTGTTGTTGGTTGTTGTTGTTGTTATTAAGGCATTTTTACAACACATACACACCATACAATATTCATCTTTATCTCCTGGACTTCCCAGTCCATCTCTCCCTGGTAGTCTTTTGTCTAGGTAGTCTTTCTAGGCAGTCATTGTGATCTAGGCAGTCTTTTGTCTACTGGACAATCTGTTATTCCACCCATTTTTGTCTCAAATCTTCCTTTATTTAATATTATTTGCTGCTCATATGTTCATTCCTACTTGTAGGTTAAACTGACTATTATACCCTCTGAGATACTCTTCAAAACACTTCCGCTCATCTCTTATCTGTGACTCATTCTTATTTCTTAGTTTTGCGGTCATAGTTACTAATACTGAGTTTTATTACCTTTCAAACCCGTGACAATCTGCTGTCACTGACTTGTTCAGTAACTCCGGGGAGGTGGGGAGGAGCTGGGTGAAAGGCCTTCCCCCCCAGTTAGAATGAATAGCACATCTAATGTTTCTTGCCTTTCAAGTCTTTTAAAAGTTGAATAAAATCACTAAAAGACACGCACACAAATCAGCATACAACCCAGTGGACAAGGGATCCGGCTTGTATAGAAATCCTGATTGAAAGATTTATCTTCTGGAAAAAATCCATGGAGATAAAGTGGCCAGATAAGAAAGGATGGAATAGCATACAGTAGGCAAAACAGGTTTTTGTGAAATGCTATTCTTTTGTCCTTTGTATAAAATATTCTAAATAGCCTCAATGTGCATGTTAACCGGGGGAGGGGGGGGGATACAAGGTCCCTTCCCACATTTGTGATTGCTTGAAATGTTCAGCATAATGTTGGGAAGGGAATCATAGAATGCACTCTTTCTGCACCACCTGAGAAACACTTGGAAGTAGAAATATGGAAAAATCATAAATGCTGTGCAGACATCTTTGCAATGGGCATAATCAGGCAGTGAAGGGGAAACTGGAATTGCACTCATTGGTCCTGATCGCAGGATTCGTGTGGATATGCAGGTCGGTTCTCTCTGAATGGTTCATCCCAAGTGGTTTTGCGGGTGTGAATCATGTGGAGACAGTTTACACAGACACAGCTGAAATGCATGGTGATATCGCTTACAAGGTACAATCAGCAATGGAGGGTGAAGATGGGAAGCAATCCTACTCTCCCTGCCTGCGTTGAACATTTGCACAAATTAAAAAATATATATCCCTACGAAACACAGATGGAACAACTGATTGGTTCAAAATTGGGAAAAGAGTACGACAAGGCTGTATATTGTCTCCCTGCTTATTTAACTTATATGCAGAATTCATCATGCGAAAGGCTGGGCTGGATGAATCCCAAGCCGGAATTAAGATTGCAGGAAGAAATATCAACAACCTCAGATATGCAGATGACACAACCTTGATGGCAGAAAGTGAGGAGGAATTAAAGAACCTTTTAATGAGGGTGAAAGAGGAGAGCGCAAAATATGGTCTGAAGCTCAACATCAAAAAACCGAAGATCATGGCCACTGGTCCCATCACCTCCTGGCAAATAGAAGGGGAAGAAATGGAGGCAGTGAGAGATTTTACTTTCTTGGGCTCCATGATCACTGCAGATGGTGACAGCAGTCACGAAATTAAAAGATGCCTGCTTCTTGGGAGAAAAGCAATGACAAACCTAGACAGCATCTTAAAAAGCAGAGACATCACCTTGCAGACAAAGGTCTGTATAGTTCAAGCTATGGTTTTCTCAGTAGTGATGTATGGAAGTGAGAGCTGGACCATAAAGAAGGCTGATCACTGAAGAATTGATACTTTTGAATTATGGTGCTGGAGGAGACTCTTGAGAGTTCCATGGACTGCAAGAAGATCAAACCTATCCATTCTGAAGGAAATCAGCCCTGAGTGCTCACTGGAAGGATAGATCCTGAAGCTGAGACTCTAATACTTTGGCCACCTCGTGAGAAGAGGAGACTCCCTGGGAAAGACCCTGATGTTGGGAAAGAGAAGGAGAAGGGGATGACAGAGGACAAGATGGTTGGACTGTGTTCTTGAAGCTACTGTACCAGCATGAATTTGACCAAACTGCGGGAGGCAGTGGAAGACAGGAGTGCCTGGCGTGCTCTGGTCCATGGGGTCATGAAGAGTTGGACACGACTAAACGACTAAACAACAACAACAATGAAACACAGAATATCTTTAGCTCAATGCTGATTCGACGCTTCTTATTCTGCTAACCATGGTTAAGAGATCAGGTGTTCTATGGGCTCCATTCTTTCCTTCCTCGTTGTTCTTCCCATCTTATGTGTCAATCACTATAGCTCTCATTGTAGAGCTAGCTGTGGTGTAGCGTTACCTCGGCGCCAGCACTTCTGCTAACCATGGTTAGCTCCGAAAGCTCTGTTTGCAGGTGTTAAAACACTAGCTTGCATTGCACTTTGCTCCCATTGTAATTAAACTCCTTCCCCCTTTTCAAGGCTCCCAGAATGTTTGACAGCAAAGGACAATGTTAAACAACTAAGGAAGAGGTTTTCAAACGCTGGAAATATTTCAGAGAATTATTGTAACACTCAGAAAATGTGTTTTTTAACCACCTTTGGATAGGCATGCATGTTTAGAAAGTGTTCTCTTTGCTCTTCCCCTTGCCTCTGTTCTATTAAAGGTCTTTATTGCAAGTCATTAAGTATTACAGCAAATCCTGCCTTTATTTGGTATAAATGGGTGGCTTGGCCAACATATCTGACATGACTTTTGTTAAACAACACCATTTACTGTATTGTTCAACAGGATCCACATTTAAGGGCTGAATGCTTGTGGCGCTGTGGTCTAAACCACTGAGCCTCTTGGGCTTGCCGATCGCAAGGTCGGCAGTTCAAATCCGCATGACGGGGTGAGCCCAACGTTTGTTCTCTCCCAGCTCCTGCCAACCTAGCAGTTCGAAAGCATGCCAGTGCAAGTAAATAAATAGGTACCACTGCAGCGGGAAGGTAAACAGCATTTCGGTCATGGTGTCCCATTGCGCCAAAAGCGGTTCAGTCATGCTGGCCACATGACCCGGAAAGCTGTCTGTGGACAAATGCAGGCTTGAAAGCGAGATGATCGCCACACCCCATAGTCGCTTTGACTGGACTTAGCGGTCCAGGGGTTATTTACCTTTACCTTTCACCTGCTTTTTTTTAATTAATTTGACTTGTTGATTCTCTGGGCCCATAGTCAGTGTTGCACAACCTGTTGATTAGATGTGATCAATATATTCAAAGTGAATTTTTAGAGTTTGGTCCTTTGTAAAAACAGGGCTTTTTTCCAGCTTGAACTCAGTACCAGCACCTCTCAGTTGGGTGCCATTGCAATTCTAGGAGAATGAGGTGAGTTCATGGTGAGTTCTGGCACCTCTTTTTGTCGAAAATCAGCATTGATCATACCTTTTGACAGCCACATTGAATCAGCTGAACCTTGGAGTTGCTGAGAAGGGAAGGTTTTAACACATACACTATTCCTGATGCAGCCTAAATGAGTGTGTAATAATAATAATAATAATAATAATAATAATAATAATAATAATTTTATTATTTATATTCCGCCCATCTGGCTGGGTTTCCCCAGCCACTCCAGGTGGCTTACAGCACATAAAAAATGGTAAAACATTAGACATTGAAAATTTCCCGATACAGGGTTGCCTTCAGATGTCTTCTAAAAGTCAGATAGTTGTTTATTTCCTTGACATCAGATGGGAGGACGTTCCACAGGGCAGGCACCACTACTGATAAGGCCCTCTACCTGGTTCCTTGTAACCTCACTTCTCACAGTGAGGGAACCGCCAGAAGGCCCTCGGCATTGGACCTCAGTGTCCGGGCTGAACGATGGGGTGGAGACGATCCTTCAGCTATACTGGGCTGAGGCCATTTAGGGCTTTCAAGGTCAGCACCAACACTTTGAATTGTGTTTGGAAATGTACCAATGTAGATCTTTCAGGACTGGTGTTGTATGTTTTCAATGTGTGCTGAATGGAGGTGTTCATTGTGCATCTGGGTATATGTCTCCATGTACGTTTGTTGAATGTGTGCATGTGTTAATGGCGCCAGCATCAGCCACCCCCGCCAGCCTTACCCACTGGCATGCAGGTCTCGAGCATCAAGCTACTGCCACATGGGACTCTCAGGGTCCAGATATCTACACTCTCCTGGGATACTTCCACCCTGAGATGTGACTTTAGGTACAGTTCGCAGCACCTTGAGCATCAAAAGCCTGCATTGCCATAGAGTGTTGCCCATCAGTGCTAAAGCACTCTTCTTCAGTTTATATTTTCTTGATTATTTTACATGTGTCGTTAATGTTTGGTTATAAGCCTATCTTACAGGCCTCTCTTGTGAAATGCTGGAAATAAACAGTATTTTATTTACCGCAGGAAAGTTCCACACTGGAAGCGTTGACATGGTCTGTAATTATGGCCATCTGTACCCAACCCAGGGGGAACCTCTAATTTTCTAGTTTATGTAATTTAATTTTTAACTGCATAGCAAAAGAGAGAGAGAGAGAGATTTTCACTGAGAAATGAACTCTAATTATAAAGCAAGCAGACTGAATCATTTAAATAAGCAAATAATGTTCTATTCTAAACTTTCCTCTTTTTTTTTTTTTTTTGGAGGGAAAAAAAATGACCCTTGTAGGAATGGCTCCAATATTTTACAAAGAAAATACTTCCCCTAATTAAAATTAGCTAGCTATTTGTTCAGGGATTTGGGGTCAATTATGCTCACTAAGGGTTTTGAAAGACAACCATATGTTGACATGCCCTTGGCTTCCTGTAGTTCTGTAATGGTATCTCACTATTTTACTTTTTTCATATTTAATATTCAATTAGCTAGTAAGTGTCCAGAAACAGGAGGGCATTGACTTTTCAGAGTCTGAAAGATTGACTTTTTTTCTTTTTAAGTACAGTGGTGCCTCGCAAGACGAAATTAATTCGTTCCGCAAGTCTCTTCGTCTTGCGAGTTTTTCGTCTTGCGATGCACGGTTTCCCATAGGAATGCATTGAAAATCAATTAATGCGTTCCTAGGAAACCGCCTTCAGACCAGGTCCGGGGACAGTCTGTCCCCGGACCTCTTCTGAAGGCTGGGGGGGCACGGGCTTGTCTTCCCACCCCCAGCATTTTAAAACCCGGGACAGCGGAGGACTTCTCCGCTGTCCGGGCGATCTTAAAATGCTGGCGGGCGGCATTTAAAATCACCCCGGGACAGCGGAGGACTTCTCCGCTGTCCGGGGCAATTTAAAGCCCCTGGGAAGGCAGGCAGGGGGACAAGACTTTGCCCCGCCAGCCTTCAGAAGAGGTCCTGGACCTCTTCTGAAGGCGGGCGGGGGCGAAGTCTTGCTCCCCCGCCTTCAAAAGCCCTCCGGGACAGGCAGGCAGGGGGAGCAAAGACTTGCGCCCCCGCCCGCCTTCAGAAGGTCTTCCCTCCCCCCGCCCGGCTCGGAGCACCGTTCCGAGCCGGGCGGCGGCGGAGGTCTTCCCTCCCCCCGCCCGGCTCGGAGCACGTTCCGAGCCGGGCGGCGGCGGCAGGTGTTCCCTCCCCCGCCCGGCCGGAGCACCGTTCCGAGCCGGGCGGCGGCGGCAGGTGTTCCCTCCCCCCGCCCGGCCGGAGGAGCCTTCCGAGCCCGGCGGCGGCGGGAGGAGGTGTCCCCGCCCCGCCGCCAGGCTTCGGAGGAGGTCCGAGGACAGTGGGAAGACGCGCTGCGCTTCCCGCTGTCCCTGAGATTTCCCTATGGGCTGTCGTCTTGCGAAGCAAGCCCATAGGGAAATTGCGTTTATGAGCGCCTCCAAAACGGAAAACCCTTTCGTCTAGCGGGTTTTCCGTCTTGCGAGGCGTTCGTCTTGCGGGGTACCACTGTACAACCTGTTTTTAAATTAGCCTTTCTTGTGACTCTTGCGGCATCTGGCATTCTTTAGGCCAGATATCACCAATCCGATGCCCAGAGACATCAATATTCTCTCTTTATATATACAGTGGTACCTTGGGTTAAGTACTTAATTCGTTCCGGAGGTCCAGTTCTGAAACTGTTCTTAACCTGAAGCACCACTTTAGCTAATGGGGCCTCCTGCTGCTGCCGCGCCACCGGAGCACAATTTCTGTTCTCATCCTGAAGCAAAGTTCTTAACCTGAGGTACTATTTCTGGGTTAGCGGAGTCTGTAACCTGAAACATATGTAACCTGAAGTGTGTGTAACCTGAGGTACCACTGTAATTTTATTCCAAGTTGCTTGAACTCAGTGGGTCTTTTCAGTGAGGTACCACTGTATCTATATATTTTTTATTCAGTTTTACACTATACATTTGAATTCAAACATTAATCATAATAATTTAGGATTCCCTGATTCCTTAGACTTCCCTCCACGGTTTCCATTATCAAACTTTTTCTACTGCATCATATATTTTCTCTGTTTTCTTAAGATAATCCATTTTTACCTTAGTTTTTAATGCATTACAAGCGTTACTCAAATCCCGCCAAAGTTTTTAGTTCTTTACAGCGTTTTCTTAAGTAAACTGTAATCCCCCCCCGCATTTCTTATTAAATTTCTATCTTCTTGGTTTCTGATTTTCATGGTCATTTTCACCATTTCGGCGTTGTCTATCATCTTCATCAACCATTCATCTCTAGTTGGGACTTTATATTCTTTCCATCTCTGCGCTGCTGTCGTTGCATACGTAAATAATCGTTTCTGCTCCTTTGGTACCAAAAGATACCAGAGACATTAATATTCTCAGAAGTCTCAGAGAATTCGTACTAAAATAGGAAAAGCTAGCATTTTGGTGCCAATGATATCATGTGGGCACTGCAAAACAGCTGCATCCATGAAGATCAGCAACTCCAGAATAAACATCCATCCCGAAGCACCATCGCCTTGAATTTCCCTACCTTTTCGCCTTTAGAAATGCTTTAAAGAGATTTTTGTGTATTGCTGCTGCCGCCGCCATTTTGTTTGCATTAAATTTAATGCTGCAGTCTGGGGGTGGGCTACAAATGAACTTATTTGAAAATGAATGCAGAAATAGATTTGTGACATTGTAGCCAGCTGGGAGGAGCTAAGTTAAACTGAAAAGCTGTGTACGTTTCACTTCCATTGGGGGCACAGATGAAGCAATGTTGTTTATTTCTTTAAAAAAAGTTCACGTGGGCAGAGTACCTAGGAATGCTTATGTTAAAACAAACAAACCAGTATTCGTGAAATTGACAAAAGTCCCAAATTAGCCACCCACCCCCAAAACACCCTCCCACCCCTCTGCAGTTAGTGGAGAGATATTCAGGGAAATTGAGAAGCCTGGTGATTTAAACAGGTGCAAAGAAAATCTTTGTTAATTTCACCATTGCTTAAAAACACACAAAAGACCCAGTTCTGAATGGGTTTTTTCAAGGTGTGAGGCTGAGGAATGGGGGAGATTGTCAGGGACTGGGCAGAAGAGGAATGGTAGAGATCGCCTCCCCATCCAGACCCTTCCAGGGAGGAGGAAGAGGAAGACAGTATAGATTTACAGCAGGGGTTTGAGGGAGGTTGCAGCTCAGAGGCACATGAGGGGGAAAACTGGGAAATCATGGGAGAGCTAGAACAACACCCGGCTGACACATTGTCATTAGAAAGCTTTCCAGACCCTCCATCTCACAGAACCTGGCGAGCCTTAAAAGTAGGAGAGCAAAGAGCTCAAAGACAGAGGGCACATAGCAGCACCCGCAGAGGAAGTGATAATGATGATGAATGAGGAACTGGGATAGAAGGAGGGTGAAGGTTCACTCGGGACAACGCCATTATCCAAGAGGCTGGGTTCCAAAGCCTCTCTCTATCAAGATTGGAATAAAAAAGGACTGTAAGAAACTTTCCCTTGTCTTTATACTTTCCTGGGCAACTAGCTGGGAGCCGCTGACAGCATCTTGATAGAGATGGGTATTGTTGCCATATTTCCAAAGTGAATAGCCGGAGAAAGTTGTTGAGCATTCCTCCCCCCTCAAAATTGTTGAGCTTTTGTGGGGGTACATTTCACCCCAAGCCAAAAAGAACATTTTTGGGCTTTCCCCTGTTTTTTATAAGGATTTTATTTTTAACCCTTGCTATATGTTCGGGTTTCCCCAGACATTTTGCAGACAATTCAGCAGAAATCCGCCCGGACACAAAATGATTGCCCCATTCCTGGATCTGTCCTGGAAAAACAGGATATATGGCAGCCCTAGAGATGGGGGATTTAGCTTTCAGTATGTGGCTTGAAGACTGAGATAAAATGGAGAAAGAGGGCCACACACACACACTTGTGTTTTATGAGGATCATGACTATTGTGTTTTATATTTTCTTTTCCTATATTAGTCTTTTCTTTTGATATATTGCCTTTTATTATCTTTCTACAAAAGAGTTTGGATTTTATTGCTTAATATGTTGAAACCTCTAATGAAAGCTGCTATATATATATGAAAAAACACACACCAAAAAAAGGCAAACGATAAGCGCCATTAGAGCAGTGGACAGAGTGGCTTTCCCTGGAGACAGGGATTGCATTCCGTGCTGTCAGCAAGCACATCATAAAGCACTTCTCCACACCAGGCAAGAAAATAGCACCCAAGTCACTCTATATCCGAATGGATTGTACTGCAATTCTGGTGGAAGTTAAAAAACAAAGTCATGCAACCCCAAAAAACATAGTACAAGAGAAAAATCCATAGGAATGCAAAATGGCAAAGGTCACCTCGGTTCTGTAGTATAGAAACAATGGGGTGTATGGTGTCACTAATGGGTGGGTGAGGCAGTTCAGGTGAATGATGGGCAGGATTACTGGGTGCTAGCTGCTAGTATAATGATTATGAGAGGGTTAAAGAAATTAGCAGCAGCTATAACTTTAAACGAAGGATGCGGGTGGCGCTAGGGGTATGGGTGGTGCTAGGGACATGGGTGGCACTGTGGTCTAAACCACTGAGCCTAGGGCTTGCCGATCGGAAGGTCGGCGGTTCGAATCCCCGCGACGGGGTGAGCTCCCATTGCTTGGTCCCAGCTCCTGCCAACCTAGCAGCTTGAAAGCATGCAAGCGCAAGTAGATAAATAGGTAACGCTCCAGCGGGAAGGTAAATGGCGTTTCCATGTGCTGCTCTGGTTTTGCCAGAAGCGGCTTAGTCATGCTGGCCACATGACCCGGAAAAAATATCTGCGGACAAACGTCAGCTCCCTCGGCCAGTAAAGCAAGATGAGCGCTGCAATCCCAGAGTCGTTCATGACTAGACTTAACTGTCAGGGGTCCTTTACTTTAAAATATATATATCTATATATATATATATATACACACACAGACATACACTTTAAACTGGTTGAAGAGAGGGAAACTTTTTCCATATGTGGTGGGCATGAGGAAATGTAAAAGAATATTGGGAAATGATAAATAATGAGATGAAAAAAAATGTTCTAACAACCTCCCCCGAAAAAAAACCCCAGAGGCATTTTTGTTAGGTATTATTCAGACAGAGGTTCCCAGGAGTCACTCTGTGTGCCACAAATCTGTTAACGCAAAAAAATGAACCGCTTCTGTTTCCTGGAGTTAGTAAAGGTTCTGGAATCGGTCTCTTCAATCCCCGTGGAAAGGGCAGATCAACATATCGCGTGCCATGTTTTCCACCTAAAGTTGGCCACGTATACAGCGTATGTTTTCGCATGGAATGCTGTACTTAATATATTGATAGCAGCACCGTGAACTGTCCTAACTGCAGCTTTCAGATCAAATGCAAGGGAAACCCCATATAGAATGCATATAATCTGCGGGAATATTTTAAGTGTGTTTTATAGGGCTGTGCTCAGTCCCTCAATCCAATGGGACCTGACATGGCCTGAGACAGGGGTCAGCAAACTTTTTCAGCAGGGGGCCAGTCCACTGTCCCTCAGACCTTGTGGGGGGCCGGACTATATTTTGAAGAAAAATAATAATGAATGAATTCCTGTGCCCCACAAATAACCCAGAAATGCATTTTAAAGAAAAAGACACATTCTACTCATGTAAAAACACGCTGGTTCCCTGACTGTCTGTGGGCCAGATTTAGAAGGCGATTGGGCCAGATCCGGCCCCCGGGCCTTAGTTTGCCTACCCATGGCCTGAGACAACACACCTGCCCTTACAGGGGCAAGAAAAGGAGACCCCCAGTTTCTTTCCTTCCTTCCTTCCTTCCTTCCTTCCTTCCTTCCTTCCTTCCTTCCTTCCTTCCTTCCTTTCTTCCTTCCCACCTGGTGCCTCACCCACTGACAGCCTCAGATCACTGTGGGCAGTCAAAACCATGCCAGGGTAATCTGGGGCTGTCCCTACCCAACTTCAGAGAAGCAGCCTCCTCTAGGCAGACCAATTTGGAATTCAGTTGAATCCAGTGCACAGCGCTAGGATTTTGGCCCTTGGAACAAAAGATTTTAGCCAAGTTTTAAATGCTGGGGTTGTTACTTTTAAAATGATGATTTTATGATGTGCGCGTTGATTTTATGTGGATATTTGCATTGATTTATTGTTTTAGCTTTTTCTGGCCATCTCTCTCTCTCTCTCTCTCTCTCTTTCTGACGTACTGCCCAGAAGATGTGGTTAATAGGCAGTCTATATGTGTCAAAAATAATAAATAAATAAAGTGCTGTACAGGAAGAAGTCACGAAACTGCAGAACAGACTGCAGCTTTTTCTTTTTAAAAATTTAAACCCTTTGGGGGAGGGGTAAAACACAAAACATTCATACATATGCACATCATAAAACCCATCCTTGACGAATGGAGGGCAAAATTTTCTCCTATCCTATCTGGGTGAAGAAGAAACCGAACCTAAATATTTTGGAGGTAGCCGAAGTGGTGGCCCTCTTAATTCACTGTGATTTGTGTTGTACGACTTGTCCTGTGAAATATTCCAGCGTCGTAACTTTGGTTGAAGAGAGAATGTTTCCAGTTTGCCAAGGTGCCCCCATTGTCCCGGAGAGGGATTTCCTCTGACTCCGATGTGAATAATTCTTTCGGACACTGGTATTCCCTCGAAGCGACTGGGCTTTCACTGTGAATCACGGAGTCTTATGCTGTCTCGCTGAAGCCAGGGGTTGTGTTGACCTGGTGGTAACGTTGAGTTTCACTTATCCATTCCTTTTGTCAGCATTGATTCAGCATCCCTGTGTCCTTCTGTGAAAAACGATTACAGGAAGAAGTGGTTGCGTGGCAAGTTCCCGCCCCTCCCCAAGGTGGAAATAATGACGCATGACACAATTATTAAGGTTAATGGGCTAAAAAGGCCACAACTTTATTGGTTACAGGTGATGAGCAGTATTGGCTTAGGCATTGGTCCTAACCGACTATATCTGACTTCAACCCGTTCGCTTGAAGTCTGGGAAGGGTTAACCACCAGTAGAGGGAGTCCTGCTGATGCACATCAACTAGGAACTCCCCCGGGGTCACCGATAGGGGGCATGTCTTTGGCCCTCACCTCCCTAGGCTTCGGACAGGGCCACGGCCCCCGGAATCCTTTATCAGACTACCCTTCAATATGCGGGGCAGGTTATGGCGTTACCTCCCCTCTTCCATCTACAAAACTATACCAATGCCTAACCGCCAATACCCAGAAAGTTGTGGCGATTTGCTACGAGGTAGGCAAAAACCAAGTGGCTGGTGCCAATTTGCCAAGTGGAAAAATTCCTACCAGGCCTCTCAGCGGTGACCAACCAAGGTCCATAGCAAGGTCAAAGACAAAACCTTAAAGGGCAGGAGGGTGGGAAAACCAAATAGCTGCAGAGCAGCAAAGAGGAAGATCCCCGGCCGCATCCTGCCTTAAATAGGGCAGGCCATGCCCCCAGAGCCAGCCGATTGGCTGGCCAGGTGGTGATGCAGCAGGGAATCCCCCCAATCACATGGGGGCTGGGCTGTGAAGCCTGCAACCTCACCTCCGCTGAAGGGCAGAAGTGGCTTTGAGGAAAAGCCGCCTACAAAAGAGGCTCTCGCTTGGCGCTCCGCTTATGCATTTGTTGTTGTTGTTGTTGGTGGTGGTGGTGGTGGGATTATTATTTCTATACAGCCCTATACCCGAAGGTCTCAGTGCGGTTCTGTTGAGCCCCAGAAATTGAGGATCTGCCTCACTATTTGTTCTTTCGTTCACTTCACTCTGAACCAAGAACCGGGATCTATTCTGCCTCATCTCTATTTCAATACCATTCCAGAAAAGATTTTCTACTTTCTGCCAGACACTGATTATAGGGTAACTCTCAAGGTCTTTCTTAGCGGAAATGAAAATCCCGACAAGAGTTATATAGGAGATTGCAGTTGACTGCTTTGGGGATGCTCTTAATTTAACCATTATATATTTTAAAAACCAATTATTTTTACCTGTATCAAAATTTACCCTTTCAATATGTAAGTTCTATATAGTATGTTACATGTGATTTATATTGTATGTTAAACATACTACACCCTATTTTCCAGAGACAGTCTCGGATTTACAGAAGCAAGAGCCAGTTTTTGATTTGATCCCAGAATGTGTCCCGCTTTTCCTTAGGTTGTCACTATTTTCATCAGAGAAATGTTGGAGGGTATGGAGTTATGTGACCCCCGAGCCAAGGAGATAAGTAACTATACAACCATTAGAAGACATCTAAATGCAGCCCTGTCTAGGGTAGTTTTTTTAATGTGTTTTTATTAGCAATTTCAACATAACAACATATCAAAACATATCATATTCATTATTTTCTCCCCTTTTGTCCCCCCCTCAAACCCCCTCCCCTCCCCCAGAGACTTCCCTCAGCTCCTCTCTCTAACTTCTCAGCACATATTATTCTCTGCATGTTATAAAATTATACAAATCCTTACATTATCTGTCTACCATGTTATCAATCAATAAATCTGTGTATGTTTATTCAAAACCTGCCAACGAGTCCAATTCATTTTGTTGTCTTTTTAAGTAATTTGTGAAAAGTTCCCATTCTTCTTCTTCTTCTTCTTCTTTTAAGTCACAGTTGTCGTTATCTCGCATTAATGTGTAATGTTTGATTATGTTTTTATATATGTTGGAAGCCACCCAGAGTGGCTGGGGCAACCCAGTCAGATGGATTGGGTTTAAATAGTAAAATTATTATGATTGAATAGGATGTACGTATTTTCATGAGAGAAATGTTGGAGGGTATGGAATCAAGATCATTGTGCCCATTCTTGCTTTTGATATTCTGGTGTATGTGTGTGTAATATTTTTGTACCCGTCAGTTCAGTTTTCCCAGAATGAGGTGTCGCTAGAGATTTCGTTTCCTCCCCAAGTGCCTCTTGCAGTCTTGGGAACGGATCCAGAGAAAGCACGGCCACATTTTTATTCTTTATCTGAGTTTGTTTAAGGAGCCGGAACGATCCAGGACTGAATCACAGGTCGTTTGCAGAGTCCCTGACTAGTGCCCAGCAAATTCTAAGAAATCTTTTATTCCAAGGCAGTGCAGTTCTGCAAGCCTGCGGAATTTGGCTGACCACAGGAAGCAATTGAGAGCTTTTCCAGCCTGACCATATCGGCCGTCTCACCACAAGAACGTCCTATTTTGGCTCCGTCCCTTCAATCAACTCAAGGTTGTGCCTCTCGTGATCTGCAGGGCCGAGTTTAAGGAGAGCTTGTTGGCTCTCTGTTTATGAAGTAGCCCTTGCTTAACACAAGCTCTCCTTTCTTGCATCAGAACAGCTCCTGTTTGCTTTATTAAATGCTGGCTAATTTTCCAAAGGAGCATAAACGGCTTCCATTACATCTGAATACTTAAAGAAAAAAGAAAAAGAAAAATCTATTGCGAATCCACTTACGTTAAATACAGAAAACAGAGAGTCAATTGAATAATAGAGGAAAAACACACCCTCCCACCTCTGCTTCTGTAAATTAATATGGCCCAGTTCAAACACTTGCCTCGCCAAGGATTGTAAGTTTTGTGGTGGAGGAAGGAGACCTGCATGCTAGGAAGACAGGGAGCTACCTTACACTGAGTCACAACATTGGCCCATTTAGCTCAATATTGTCTGCACGGACCAACAGCAACTTCTTGGGGTTTCAGAAAGGGGTCTCTCTCAGCCCTACCTAAAGATGGCAGGATTGAATCTCAGATTACCTGAGTGAAAAGTGTGTGCGTTAGCTCTGTGCTATGGTCTTTTCTCTACTTCTGAGTAGACCTACCTGTCAGGCAGCGTGGCGCAGTGGTTTGAGTGTTGAATGAGGAATAAGGAGATCCTAGTTGAAGTTCTTACTCATCCACCAAGCTCCCTGGGTGACATAGTGTCTCATGTGGGAGAAGATTGCATGATCCTCCATGAAATAGACTCCCTGCACCTAGAAAGTTAGCATATCAGGGGACAAGCTAGGATTACCCCGTTCCCTGGTTTGCTATATTTCTGTAGGCAATGAACTCAATTTGTGTTTTTGGGTGGGTATATATGTTTAGGTCAAAATCTGTTATCCCTAACTCACAGTCCAAAATAGTACAGCCCACATGATTCTCCTGAATGTATAAACTGGTGCTAACTTCCTTTGGATAAGGGCCAATATATATGGAGCTGGACTGAAGCATTAAGCCATAATTATCTTATAATCAGTTGCTCTGACTTCCGTGGTACATAAGGTAACCGTGGATTGTTAAATGCAAACATTTGCAGAATAAATTGAGTTCCTTTGTTCCGAACAATTCTCTGATCCAGTGCTCTTTCCTAAGGTGCAGTAAATTTTCCTCCATGACATTTAAAAAGCCAGGCCTGACATTTTTCATCTTAATAGCCAGGACAATGTTTCTTATATTTCCAAATCTTTCCATATGTTACAGCTTATGGGATATAAACAACGAATGTTAGGCTCGTAGATCTCCTGACGATGTTTTTCCTCCTCAGTTTGCCCGAAGATTTAAGGTTTTCAGACATTGCTATGGATTATATTATTATATTTGTTTTCCACCATTCCTTTAAGGAGCCCAGGACGTGAAGGAAGTTGCTCCATTTTATTCTCATAATTGTCCTGGGGAGGCAGGTTAGGTTAATGATTTGTCCCCAGGGCTACACAATGAATTATATGGCTTAGTGACAAATCGAATTCCTATTCTCCCCAATTTAAGTCTACTGTTCTGTCTCATGCACTCCCAATCCTCATCTAATGCTTTGTCCGCTATCTCCATATACAGCCAGGACCCAGAAGTGCAGTGGGACAGAGTTGCTCTGGTAGCTTCCAGACAGTGGGTTGCTGTTGCTTACCAGGGACTCGGCTACACAGCTGCACATAAAACATTTCAAATGCGTTGCAAAGTGCAATATACAAAGCTGACACTGGATGGCGACAGTGAGCTATGCAAAATTCAATGCATTTTTCAAAACGTTTTAAAATAAAACATTCTCACAGCATTTTTTTTAAAAAAATATGTGTGTAGATTCCACCCAGGTTGCTGCAGTGCAGACGCAGTGGAAGGAGCATCAGGTTGGTGAGTTTGCACCATGCCAACCTCCCTGCTGTCTTGCCCCCTTGCCAGTAAGCCACAGTAACCCACTTGTTTCTGGAGCCTTTACATCCAGATATTAATTTTGAGCAACTCAGTTTATTTGTTCTTCTGTTGCTTTGCAAGCTTTGTTCATCCAACCAGGGGCATATTGTGGGCAGGTCCAAAGGCCACATGTTTTTGAGGGGGCACGAGCCAGGTGGCCCTACACAGGAAGCTCTGCCCAGCCTGCCACCGGGGGTCTCTGGGCTCCGGAGCCTGGCCTGGCCTTGCTGCTGCATCCCTGGCACCCTTGCAGAATGGCCACCCAGCTAGTGTTGGGGGGATGCCCCCGTCAAGGGCTGCATCGGCCAGCCGGGCTCCCCCCTGCATGGGCAGGCAGGCGGCATATTGCAGCATGGCCCCATGAACCCTCTGTGCCCTGTGCCCACCCGGTGGTACAGAGTTGGGCTGGCAAGGTGGGTTTTGTTTACCCTCTGCTCCCAGCACCTGGTCCCACTTGGTGCATGTACACACATGCGTGAGCTCCAGACAGTGGCAACGGATGCAACGCCGCTACTTTCAAAGCCCTATTTCAGATACCAAAACCTCTTCAGATTTATTTCCATTCAGTACCTGAGTTTGTGGACTGTGGGGATTTGGTTTCATATCTTTGGCCCATCCTGGTCAGAAGCAGAGGAGCTGGTACATGCAGGAATGTTGGGGGCACATGGGAGGGTGTGCTCCCTTAAGGGTTTGTGTTACATGGATTCAGCTGAATGCCTGAACAGGGCCCTAGCAAGTACAGTCCAATGACACCCAGTGTCAGGTGGCAGAGGATCCAACCCCCATGGCAGGTTACCAGAAACGGATAAGACAAGGAAAAGTTCTTACCAACTGCTTTTTATTCAATATTCACAGAGAGATGCTTAGAAAAACATCCTCTTTGAATAATGACTGAGTCTCTACCCCTCCCTCTCTCCCTTCATGCGTCACCACTACGGGTGCTGAGAAGTGCCCTCTGCCTTTGAGCTCTTTGCTCTCCTAATTTCAATGCTCACCGGGTTCTGGGAGAGGGGGGGATCTGGAATGTTTTATAAAGGCACTGTGCCCATCAGCTGTCAACAGCGGCAGAGGAAGCCACTCGGGTGCCTGGGGCAGCATGCCCAGTGACAGTGGGGTGAGCCGCCCATAGGGGCGGGGCACACTGTGGGGCCTCGGAGTCTGCCTGCCTCCTCCCTACAACCGTCCTACAGCTGGGCGGGGGGAGGCAGCAGGTGGACGGTTTTGGGCAGCGTGGAGCCTGCGCACACCCAAGCCACCACGTCTCTCCCAGGAGAGACGCATGGCTCGGGCATGCTTCAGGCCCTGCGATGAGTGCCACCTGGCATTTTGTCACCCCCCTCAGTGTATTTCTGAAATGTCTTCTTCTTCTCTGGAAGGGTCAGGCTGGGGAGGCAGTCCCCATTCCTCCTCTGTGAAGTCCCTGACACGGCTTTGTGGCTGTGCAAGGATCTGACTTGGGTCTCCCTGGCACTAGTCATTTGTTAGCTGGGCTGTTGCTGTCGAAAACATTGGAAGGATGCCAGGTTGGGTAAGAGTTCCATAATCCAGGGATGGGGAACCTGTGACCCACTAGACACTATTGGACTCCCATTTGCTCTAGCCAGGGTGACCAATGTTCAGGGATGATGGAGATGAAATCCAATTCTTTTCCGAGTGCCACCACATTGACCATGCCTGCTGCAGTCTAACACACAAACTAATGCGCCACACCAGCTCTGTTATTTGAGATGTAATGTTCTTGTATTTTGAACTGCAGCAGTTTTTAACAATCCAGGTGTGTGTCGTTCTCCACTCCTCCCCGACAACATTCTTAATAAATACTACAGTGGTACCTCAGGTTACATACGCTTCAGGTTACATACGCTTCAGGTTACATACGCTTCAGGTTACAGACTCCACTAACCCAGAAATAATGCTTCAGGTTAAGAACTTTGCTTCAGGATGAGAACAGAAATTGTGCTGTGGCGGCGCAGTGGCAGCAGGAAGCCCCATTAGCTAAAATGGTGCTTCAGGTTAAGAACCGTTTCAGGTTAAGAACGGACCTCCAGAATGAATTAAGTAGTTAACCCAAGGTACCACTGTACCTTGAACAACAGTACTCTATGAACTTCTCCTTTTAAAAATGTCCCTGTTTTTAAGTTCCGTCAAATGCGACTCATCTTCCAGTCTTTTGAGCAAGAGCTGTAAAAATATTTTTGCTGGGGAAGGGTATCAGCATTTTAATCTTCCGCGCGCTGATAAAAGGAGGAGGGCGAGGAGGAGGAGGAAGGAAACTCCTTTTTGCAGCACAAAATAGAGGAGAAACAAAGATGGCCTTTGTTTGGCGGAATATTGCACCTGCGTTAACTTCGCTGCTGACATCCTTAGTTGAAATTTGATTTCCCCCCTCTCCTTCCCCTCCCACTTTCATTATTCCTTGGGCCCAGGAATGTGTGGCATGCAAGCCATCTTTCTTGTCACTGACAAATTTCTTTCTTCAACTATGAAGGGAGAGAAGCCCTTCCTTGCTTGCGCTACCATTGGCGAGGCATCCTGGCAGTGCACCTGTGCCTTGTAACCATATCCTCTCCTTGAGCAGGGGCTTCATGTTGGCCTGACAGACTCGGGAGATCAATTTCCTGCCCTCTTCTAAAAGCTCGGGGTTACAGGTTCTGTCTGGACGAGGGAAGACCTTTTTAGAAATCCCTACAGCAAAAAGAAAAAAACAAACAAACAACCAGGAAGAGCAGGGGGAGCCCTGGATTTCCCTCAAAGAGAGAGTGTGGCTAGGAACTCTTGTGGCATGTGGTTGTGGAGGAAATGCTGCTTCTGTTTCATGCTGGGCTGCTACTTTTTAAGCTGGCAAGTTACATTGGAAGCTGCCTTCTAAAAGGCTAGGACAGTGGTTTTCAACCAGGGTGCCGTGGCACCCTAGGGTGCCTTGAATGATAATCGGGGTGTGGTGGGCAGCACTGGTCTCTGTCCCTCTTTCCTCCCCACCTTCATCTGAAGCTCTCTCATGTCTCTGCCTCCCAAAGGCTTTTGTGGCAGTTTGTTGAAGCAGCCCTCGCTACAGGCACCACAGGTGAATGGTGCCTGTGGGGTGGCAAGAGGACGCTGGTTGCCAAGAACTGAGGTGACCTTGGGGTAAGCAAGCAAGTGGGCAAGGGAGCCCAGTCAGGCAGTCCACCAGCTCTTGGGAATGGACAAACAAGTGGGAGGCCAGGCAGGCAGGCAGGCACTGTGCTGGCCTTTCTTGTGTTTGTTGTGTGCAAGGCCTGCCTGGGAGCTGAGTGTCCGGTGCTGAAAGGGAGCCTTTCCAGCATGCAAACCCAGCGGTGCCCGCTGCTGCCGCTGCTGCCTCCCAAGGTAAGGTGTTAGCCTCATGTTCACCTCTGGCCAGTCTCCGTTGGGCCACCAAGACTGGGGGCATCCTCTTCCCAGGCCCCTGTGAGGCAGTGTGAGGAGGCACTTCTCTTTGGGGTGGGGGGTGGGGAGCTCAGAGACCAGGGGTGGCAGTTGCGACTGCCTGGAGGACTCCCAAGGACAGGTAAGAGGAGGTTGAGGAAACACTCCACAAGGGAGGGTGTTCAAAAAAGGGTAAGAGGCTGCCAGTTCTGCGAGAAAGGGGTGACATAACTGGGCTCCTGAACCCCACAGAGGTGCCACAGAAAGAATGTAGTTGGTCAAAGGAGCCATGGACTCAACAAGGTTGATTGGTTTAGGACATTGGTTTAGCTGTCCCAAGATTGTCTCTCCTTCCTGGCAGTGACTCTTTCCAGAGTCAAAGCAGGGATCTTTCTGATTACCTGCTGCTGATATATTTTACCAGAAATGTGAAGGATTGGATGTGCAAAGTGTGTGCTCAGCCACTGAGCTGCCTCGTAGCTTGCAGCAGGAGGCATTCTAACCACTGCACCATGCTGCCTTTCCTCTTTTCATTTGGCCCAGCTGAGTGGAGAGTTCCTTGGACAGGTGCTTGTATGTTGGACAAAGTGAGCCCAAACAACGTTTTCATATAGCGCAGAGTCTTTATATGATATTAACCTTCTTTTGTTCTTTCCATGTCGGTTGGGATTGATTTTGGGGGACCTGGGTTCAGGTTCCACCATCACCAAGTGCAAGTTGTGTGGCCATTTGTTGATCGACAAAGTCACTTCCCATTCTTGGCTTTGGTTTCCTTTCTGTAAAAAAATAGAAATAATTGTTGACTGTGGGTTTCATCTGACCAAGACAGCGCAGAATCGGAATAACTGGTGGAGAGGCATACAAAGAATAGAGGGGGGAAAATTATGTATGCTACCACAGCAGCTTGTATGATGTATACCCAAAGGTGGAAAGAAGAAACAGTTTCAACAAAAGGAGATTGGCAATTAAAACTGATGGAATATGCAGAAATGGTGAAAGTTAATGGAAGAATATGGAATCAAGATGAGAGACTCTTTATGACTTAGTGGAGAAAAATCTATTGGTTATTTGAAGGCGCATTGTAAACAACTTAAAACGTTAGCAGGGTTGGCATAAACTGGTACATTAACGGATAACTAAAAGAGAATATAATGGGAAGTAAATAAATAGATTTAAATTGGATATGCAGTAATAAAAATATATAAAATAAGTAAATGCAGAAAGGAGGGGAGGGAAGTAGAAGAAAATGCAGATTGATACAAAGATGATGATGATGATGATGATGATGATGATGAGGTAAATATATGTAAAACGCAAAGTGAAATTTATATATATATAAAAGACATAGAGCAGAATCATATTTCCCAGCATAGCCATCACCGTTTTAATCTTTGGAAATTAATACAGTTTCATGGATTAGAAGATCCTGCCCCAGTGGATGTAGACCAGTTGATGACAATCTTGACACTTTAAGGACCTCTGTAGCCCTCGATTTGTACTTTATTTTCAAGTCCTAAGATCGCACACATTTCTCAGCAATGCACTGCCTCACCCACTGGGCCAGCCTGTGATTTCGTGCAGCGATTCCCTTGCTCTCCTTTCCCCATCTCCTGGGAACCCCTGGCGACTTGCTCTGAAAAGAGAGCTGTGGATATCTTGTAGATGACGGCTATGGAAAAATGACTGCTGAAACCAACAAGGTTCTATCCAGTCTTATCACTTTTACCGCACACCACCAGGAAGCGGAGAAAGAAAATGTCTGTGCCACAGATGTCCATGGATCATGGGGAAGACGTAATAAAACCATGCCTACTAACAGTGACTAAAGACACACCTCTGAACTCGGAGGTTAAAATATGTGTGTAAACCCCAAATGGAAAAAAGTGGATAGAAATCTTAAGCGCACTAGAAGCAGAATAGTTCTAGTTGCATGCGACACAGAAAATGCAGTAAGGTTGGAACATGACCTTCTTACATGATTATTAGTGTCGTTTATTGTATTTATCATCCGTTAACTATTTACTGATTATATTAAAATCAGTTAAAACAGTTCACATGACCCTCAGTTGATTCAAAAATCCCAAACAAGTACATTTAACTAACTCTCTCTCTCTCACACACACACAGCTGCTGAAAAGCACTTTAAATACTGTGTGTGAAATCTTAGTCATGATGAGATCCCATAATACCACCTAGGAAACTTATTTTACAATTTCACCTTGTCCAAAATGCGACACTGAAACTGGTGCCAAGCCACAATCCAATCGCCAGTCACTGCCAAGCTTCTGCCATCTTAGAAATGCCATAGACATCTTGATAGATGTGAGAGCTAAGTCAAATGTGGGCTGCATTCTTGGAGATCGGGAGCCATTCTTTACTCCTGTGGCTTCTACATCCTTTTGATTTCGGCTTGTTCTTCCTTGTCATTGTGGTGTGTGGGTTTTACCTTTTTTTTTTTTACGTTAATGTTAGATTTAGAAGAGTTAACCTCACGAGAAGGAAACTACGGTATGAAGATATTTCATGCACTGTAGCCCATCAAACTGTGGTGAAGAGCTTTAAATTCAACAGTGCTAACTGCAGAAAACTCCAGCTTCTGACATGTTCTCTAAAATCTGCTTGAGATTAGGCCTTAAAAATAAATTTGAGGGAAAGGAATGTTTTTGTGTGGAGATATTAGGACCAGCTTGAGCTGGAGACCATCTTGGCAACTAGGGGTGGACCTCCCTGACGTTTAAGGAAAGGCAAGCTCCATTTCAAATCCTTTCGGAAATTGCCATTTTGATAGAATAACATTACAGGCAATCTCTCATATTTAGCATGTTTGTTTCATGCTCTGCCAGTCAAGCACTGGAACAATGATAGAACCTCCAGGGCAGGTCATGGCTTGGAAATCATGGAACAATAGATTCAGATTGCAATAAATATGCTTCTCTCCCCCCCCCCCCGAATGAAAATGGTATATATTTTTCTTTGGGAAACTACGGCTCAAGTTGCTTTATAAATATGCTTACTGGCAAACATGTTAGGTGGATTTTTTCCCTACCTAATGTGTTCAAGGACTTGCTGATCAGAAGGTCAGCGGTTCTAATCCCTGCAACGGGGTGAGCTCCCGTTGCTCAGTCCCTGTTCCTGCCAACCTAGCAGTTCGAAAGCATATCAAAGTACAAGTAGATAAATAGGTACCGCTCCAGCGGGAAGGTAAACGGCGTTTCTGTGCGCTGCTCTCGTTCACCAGAAGCTTAGTTATGCTGGCCACATGACCTGGAAGCTGTACGCCAGCTCCCTCAGCCAATAAAGCGAGATGAGCGCCGCAACCCCAGAGTTGGTCACGACTGGACCTAATGGTCCCTTTACCTTTAATATGTTCAATGAAACTTACTCTGGTTACATGTATACTGTATATAGGATTGCATCCTTAATCTGTGGTTATTCTGTGGTTGATATTTAATTGTCAAAGCCATGAAGGCTGAGAATGAAAGGTGCATTTATTAATTTTTGGGACTACTTTGGTCCTGGTTTTT